GACATGTGACACATGTGTTTGAGGTTAGAAAGTTTTGATACATGCATTTGAGGTTAGGAAGTTTTGATGCCACGGCCTTCTTGATCTACTGATCTGACGTGACGTCATAGCTTAATGTTGGTTTATTGGCAGTTTCACAGACATCTATGCGGGTACAGTTTCTTAACTGGGCTATGCTAATATTGATTGAGGCTGCACTTTACTTTAGGTCCTACACTCATTCGAATGAAAGTATCGATTAATCGATAATATCGATCGATATTTTCATTCAATTGAGTGTAGGACCTAAAGTTAAGTCCAGCCTTGATTGAAACTAGGCTATCGAATTGAAAATATTGATTAATAATCGATATTTTTAAATATATCTAAGTTATTATATAATAAAACTATCATAACCTAACCTAACCAACCAAACTTGCTGATGGTGAAAAAATCGCATGAAGGTTTACCAATCGAATCGATAGTTTCAATCAATATTAGCATAGCCCAGTTAAGAAACTGTACCCATTAAATCTTAGTGAAGGTTTACCAATCGAATCAATAGTTTCAATCTATATTAAGTTACTGTAGGCCTGCCCAATCCTAACTCTAGGCTCAGGCCTATTATCCCACTCAATGTGTCTAATCCAGTAGGTTGTGTACTTTGGGGTACAGTTCCGCAGACAACCTGTGATATTATCAGATGAATAACGATATATTAATATATATCCGATTCAATATTACCATTGCATTGATTGTTTTACATTAGGGTAAACCATAACCTAACTTATGATAAAAAAAAACATTTAAGTTAAGTTAAAGAAGCTTTTTGGGTTTATTTTATTTTAAACTAAGTTAGGCCTAACTTAATTATCCTAAGTTAAACACAGTAGGCCTATACTCCCTCTCATCCAGACTCCCCGGGACCGAGGCCAGCCCGGATAACGAGTTTTCCAATTAAACCGACGTCCCCAAAAACTCATTAAAACAGACTGTTTACACTGTGATAAGTTAACTTAAATTTAGGAGAGCATTGTATTTAGACACGTGATCACTGGTCTCAAAACTTTCCCATGAGAACAGTCGTTTCAGTACTGCCCACTTCCTGCCGATCTAGTCCGGTTAAACCAATGTGCTGATAAAAATTTTCCGGTTAAAGAGATGTCGTTTCCGCTGAGTGTAAACTTAGTCCGGTTAAACCGATGTCCTGTTAAAATGTGCCCGTAAAAGAGGGAGTCTTACTGTAAGTTAATAATGATTAAAAGTGGACGAAACAATTAAGTTAATTTTATAATCCTATATGCATTTATAATGTTAACGTAAGTTAAGTTAACTTATTGAAAACTGTGTTGATTTTATAAAAGAAGAATAACTTTTTGATCCTATAAAAACAAAATCATAAGCTTTAGTTCGTTTATCATACTTAGTTTGTGGCCTGGTTTTAGTTGTTGTTTTTAGCGAATTTCCCCTATAACTTAGGGAATAAGCTATTACGTAGTACTCATGGTAAGACCTGGACCCGGGACCAATTTACTTTTTCGTTTTGAGGTCCCTAGAGACCAAAAACACCAACCGTTCAAATTCATATATAGTTATATATGTGTCCGTTAGCGCAATAACTCAAGCAAAAATCATCTGATTTTGATGAAATTTGGTACAAACGTGTAAACCTACGTTTATTAAAAAAGGAGTTCGCGAACCAGCATGATCGGACTATGGGAACAGGGATTTAAGGGGGGTTTTATGGGGTAAAAATTGGATTTTCCCATTTTTGACCCTAAAAACTTGAAATTTAGCATTTTCTTTCCAAACCATTTTGTAGAGCTTAAAAAAACAAATAATTTAGTATATTGAAGCGTTATTATGCGCCTAAGCTTAATGGTTAAGTTATGGAGAAAATTAAAAATTCCCATGTTATTCTTATGGAGAATAAGTAAACTGTTGTAGTTGGCTTGTTTATAATCATATTTTGATCAAATTTGGAAAATGCATTAATTTCATACTAAACTATTATTTTAGTAACTTTTTTTTACAAAAAAACACCTTTTTGCACTTCCTGTTGCAGCAAACCTAAGTACTCGTTAAACTAATGTTATTTAAATAGGGAATAAATGTGATATTTTTAAGGAGACATTTTAGTGTAAATCCAATCAGGCAAATGGAAATTCGCTTAGTCTGCAGGTTTGCTGCGGCGGAGGTATTTTATTTTTCATTAAGCTTATAAATATTATTTGTGTTTTGTACTTAATATATTTTTATTTTCTACTTATTGATTAAATACCGGTACCTATCATTAAAATCGCAAACAAATCATAACTCAATCTGATGTTTACATAGCCTGGTGAAAAAAAACATAGAAACGATGTACTGAATCGGATAATTATTGATAAGCTATATAATTTAACATTATTCATATGATAAATCAATATAGGCCTATTGCAGGTTCTCTGCATAACTGTAGGTCTAACTTACCCAAACTTTTTTTGCTACCAATGGTCCAAACAAACCAATTTACAAATTTTGTTTGTTTAACAATTCATATTCAAGGTGACTACTGTATACAGGTCAAGCCAAACATGCAATGGGACATTTGTCTTAGGCCTAACTAATTAATAGGAATAACTTACCTATTTTAACAAGAAACTAAAAACAAAAACCTAAGCAAATGTAGACTAACAATAGGTAAATCTTTATAAATGGTTAACATTGAATATAGTTGTGTCTTTGATACTTATCCTGGGTTTTAATTGTAACTTAAGCTATGCCTATTCACACACAAATATCAAACCTCAAACCATTGGTAAGTTTATAAGCTGAGGGCATGAACTGTGTTACATATGTGCTGTAGGCCTAGCATTTTTTCACCATTCATAGACGGATTGCTGCTTCTGGGAAAGCGTTAAGATAAGGCCAGCAACAATACTTTACCTAAAGTCCTGAAAATTTACCTTGGGTAACTGATTACAATTTTGTAATAGGCTAACTCTTCTTAATAATTTCTTAATAGACCTATTAAATCTATTGCAATGAATTGTCACTTTTAAATCACTACTTAGCCTAAGACCTTGTGCGCTTGGATCCAGGAGGATTAAATATAAAGGAGAGGGCACGCGAATAGGAATATACGTGTTGCGGTGAAGCCAGCTTTAGCAGAACACATTAGGAGCATGCTGAGCCGTAGAGTGGCAAAAAGCCGCAGCTATAACAGTGCGCTGTTTCGAATTAAAATTACCATTAAACTAAGACACCCGTGTTATTCACCGATGACATCCTTAAAATAAATAAAATTTCCTATCCAATGGTGTAAATAATTTATTTTAAAACTATTAACTTATTTATTATTTACTTTTTGAAGATAAAAGTTGAATGAATTGTCTTGGACTTTGAACATATATGATAACTTTAATTACGATTTTGAAATAAATATGAATAATATGATGTAGGCCTATCCATACAAATAGCAAATTAATTTATTTGAGTTCCCTAAGAGTTTCTAGAAATAAAAATAATATATTTAGGCTACCAATATTTTATCGGAGTAAAAAAAAGAACTGTATTTATCTTTTTTTAATTTTTAGGCTACAGTTATGCAAAAAACAAGCAAGCTAGTTTAAGTTTATACAAGCTTATTAATTTTAGCTTTTTAGATCAAAAATGCAATTTTGATTATGAAATAAATATTCTATTAAATTAGCTTTCCTAACTATTTTCTCAAATTTTCAATACCATTTTATGCTAATTTTAAGGCATTTTTATGCTAGGCAGGTAATTTGAAATAGCCAAAGTCAAGAAAAAATTCAATGCGGCGTTCACTTTCATTACACTCAGCAGTTCCAATATTAAATTACGAACATAAAAAGTTAAACATTTTCATGGCCAGGCCATTCAATTTTACAATTTTTTATATCATATTAAGCCATATTTTGAGAGCTTGATAAGAATTATCAAATAAACATGAGTAAAAAGTGAAATCTTTCAGTTCTTGCATCCTCTGATGCCACAGTGCGTATATCATTATTTAACAGTTTTAAAACTTATTTGATTTCTTTCTTTTTATGCAAATAATTTTCAAATACTTATATTACTTTATGATTTGAGTGTGTGATAGTGAATGTTATGATAACAACACAATATTAGCAGGGCAAAAAATTAAAACATTCATCCCTCAACCGTTATGTTTAATTAAAAGCATATTAACTGGTCATCTTTGAATTTACTATTCGTTCATGAATATATCCTTCCTAGTTAGGTTTCTAATATTGCGATTCTAATTAAAGAGCTTAATTTTGTTCGCATGACATAGTCTTAAATACTTAACTGCTATTTCAGTAACTAAATCTCTAATATGAAATTGTAACGGTCCAAATGTTTGGTGTGTTTGTTATGTATGTTTCTGAGAAAAATGCCCCCCCCCCCCCACCACGGTACGGCGTGCAGTCGGGCTGGCTTCATCGAAACTTGAGCGTGTCCTCTCCTTAATGTTTTACCCCTTCTAGGCTTGGATTTAGCCAATTGCAAAAGGCTCACTCAGCAAATGGCATGTGTTCATAAGTTAGATTGGCTCTAAAAGAATGCCAAACTTGATCATCTTCCAGTTTATTTTCAGGCCACAAGTTCAATTTTTGTTTCAAATGTATTCTTTCCTAAATAAATTTCAAGCATCTTTTGTAGTTTGAACTAGTCTCGAGGAACATAGGGCCTTTATCAATCAATGTTTGGTAGGTAATCACTCTTTTCTTGTTGTCATTCTAGTGGCTTAGATTTTCTTAAATCATGTATGATCATATTCTTTAACTTTTGTTATAGTGGTTGTCACCACTGTTAGATTAGAAACTAAAATCATATTAAAAGCAAAGTGAACTGGAAGTTAACTTACTGTAATTTATTCTAACATCTCCATTCATAAATAAACAACACCCAAGCTATTTAATCAGTATGATCAAATCAACATAAGTACCTATAATAACATAACACACATAAAATATCAATCACAGCAATTATTATTGTCAATTATTTTATAGGTATGTCAAACCGTGGACGAGGGAGAGGAAGAGGCTTTGGGAGAGGAAAATATAATGAATTCAGACAGAATGAGAGCTCTTGTAAGTAAAATCAAAATTTCACAAAATTCAGTATGGAGTGTAACTTAATTGTTTATCACATTTAGGCAGCCCTTTACAATTTTATGAAGAGATTACGTCACATTTGGCACTTATTTGTTATGCCTAGAAGTTACTGTTATAGGTTGGCCGCTTAGAAAACGACCTCCTCGTAGCATTGGTGCGAGAGAGAGATACCGAGCTGTGGGAGCGAGACAGACTATGGCTCTTCACCCACTCAGCTGCCGCCCCACCCTTCCCGAACACACGACCCCTTAAATTGCAACTAAAATATTAACAACAATTAAATTATTCAGCTGATCAAAATGGAAACAAGTACGCGGAGAGGGGGGACATACCCTCCCTCGCCGTTAACTCCCCTACATGCGCTAAAAATTTCGCGCAGGTCGCTTTCTAACCGGTCGACCTATAGTATTCTGGAACAGTCTACCTCAACAAAACTGATGAAGGCAGGCACGTGTTTGACCCCAAGGGTTGCCACCCGTCCTGATTCTGTTGGGACAGTCACGATTTTTGTTCCTTATGCCCGTATTTAAGCCTATGCTAATTCGGGGGGGGGGGGGGGAGCCATGTCCCGATTTTTCCCTAACCTAAGGTGGCAACCCTGCCTCTCAGCGCCCTAGGCCCAACTCTAATAGTAGCCCATCTTTGCAATATATACAGGGTGTCATGCAACCTTATAAAATAACATGTGTCCTATCCCTTTCCGTTTTCTGTCTATCTGTATGTGATTTTTACAAACACATTCATAACTTCTTAATTGTTTGAGCTACAGCGTTAAAATTCTGTAAAAATGTTTATCTGATTGACCTCTGTGTTTGTCCAAAATATGAATAAAAACTCATGAAACGTTAAAAAAGGCGGCTTTAAAAAATATTTGATGCCTATTCCATGAATACTGTAAATTTTACAAAATATTTCGAAGACGTAAAATTTTGTAAATTTTATACAGATTACAACGATATCTTGTAAGCTTAGTTTGGACCAAGAATAACTGAGAAATTGATTTTTTTTTCTTGTTATACTTTCAGATTACTCCATTTAAACAATGTTAAAAAGTAGTTTTATCAATTTAACGTTGTTTAAAACATTGTGTGCGGCCATTCCCGATCTGGTACAGTGCCAATGCATTTCGTCTTTGATTATGCTCTAGCGTCGGTCGAAGGCGGACCTATACCACGTTAGCGTGTAGTGTGCGACTTGCTTTTTGTTGTAGTGTAGGTTGGTAGTAAATTTCTCCATAAAATCCCCGTCTGGCAAGCTTAAAAATCAACTTGTTGGCCTGTCATTTTCCCTCCAATTGGCAATACAATGTGACCGGCTAAGTTCCAAGCAGTGCTGCTATCTGTGGGTATTTTAGCGAACTACACCGACTCTCGTGGTAAAGCAAGACACCGCCACACGCTATTTGCTATTCGTCAGAACGAAATTTGAAAGCCAACATCCCGGCAAACGGGTTTGTTCGACGCTGCAGGCTGCGTCGCACTGGGGCTACGCCTGCCATTTGACGGGCCGCAGCGAAGACGTTAAATGGAGAAAACTGAAGGTATACCAAGAAACAAATTAATTTTTCAGTTATTCTTTGTCCAAACTAAGCTTGAAAGATATCGTTGCAATCTGCATAAAATGTACAAAATTTTACATTTCTTGCAAATAGTTTGTAAAATTAACGGTTATCATGGCATTTTGCATCAAATATTAAAAAATACTGCCATATTTAAACTGTTCAAGATTTTTATTCATATAAAGACAAACATAGTGGTCAATAAAGATAAACATTTTTACAGAATTTCAATGCTGTAACTCAAACGGTTAAGGAGTTATGAATGTTTTTGTAAAAATCACATACAGACAGATAGACCTAAAACGGAATGACATAGGACACGTTATACTACATCTTTTGTTTCTTTTGACCTGCTGAGTAACGTGACAAAGTTTGTTCATAAGGTTGCAAGACACCATGTATAGGTCTAAATATGTATATATAATGGTTTTTACAGGCAGAGAAATTAGCTTCCAACAGTTGGAAGGCCTTTCGTAAAGGCCGTTTGCGACTGCCATTACAAAGGTCCCACCACCCCCTACCTCCATACCCTATTGCATACCCCCTGATTTAAGGCCCCGTTCTAGCTGGGTGACCATTGGGATGCATGCCACACACAATATACGCGACGTACCTGATGAACGTGTCTACCGGGCCTATTCGGTAAATTTGCCCTGGATGAAGGCTGTAATTAAACCTATTGTTTAATTGTGATCAAATAAACATACTGGATTTGTTTTGAGAAATCTATCCCGAATCATCTTTATAAGCCTGTACACATCATGTAAATTTGAAATCTATATAAATAATTTAAACTAAAAACTAAATGTAGCCTTCATGAACAGTGGTGATTAATGCATAAGAATTATTCAGATTGACAGAGAAATATTGCTTCATAACCAAATTGTTAGATGATGACTAAGGGATTGTTGTTAAAGGAATACAATTTTCAACAGTAGAGTAAATGCTCAAGGTAAAGGGGGCATTGTAGTAGTAGGTACCACACATAAACCTCGCTGCCACTCCACATATTTTGTTTAGCTTTTGTATCTTTTCTTTAGAGAGAGAGTTGATTATCTACAACGTCATATGTCCAAAACGTCAGTGATTTGCCGCCATCATTTTTAAATTCTCACAGTGTGCAGAGTATTGAGCAATTCGCCCACCTTTGCTTATCATAATTACTTAAACAATTTGATGACTCCTCGCCTCTGGCTCTTTAATTAGTTTGGATAATTGACTCTTAGAAGTAAAATGTCCTCGTTACACTATCTTGTGAGTCAATTTGGATGGTTTTTTAGTCACCCAAGCTAATGAGATTAAACTGTAGGCTTAACTGTTTAGCTTGCTAAAAAAATGATCAGTATTGGTATGTTTACAGATGGTTTTGGTTGGCGAGGCAGAGGACGCGGAAGTTTTTCATCTTATGAAAATACCCTCAATCAAAGCGACAAGCTGCAGAATAAGATTGAAAGACACCCTCCTGGTTAGTTCTTTGTAATGTTTAATGCAATTGTATCTAGCCTAATTTTACCTAACACTAACTATTGGAAACAAACTTAGTAAAAGGTACTTACGAGGAAGGCATTTTTTAATTATATAAATAAATATGGAGCAATACTATATAATTTATAATTTCTTAACTGTTGTAAATGATTAAGACCAGACACTGAAGAAAATGCACAAAAGTTATGACCTGACTTTGGCTAGCCATGTGAAGATATTATCACATTTAGTCTTAATTTTTAGACGAGTCACATGTGAGCATTTAACGATGAGGTAGGCCTAGTCTTTTTACCAACCCACTGGTGCTTGAGTAATTTGCTGAATCTAATCTGCGAGGGCTAGTGTAGATGTGAGCTCATAGTTTCACTCATTCCGGTCGGCTGATGGTGGCATGGTAGCTCAGTTAGCTAAGGTGTTTCACCTTAGTGAAGTAGTGTTGAGTTCTTTCTACATGCATGGATTTGAATCCATTACATGTGCAATCCATATTAAGCTTACTAATGTGTTGTGAACAGTCCAGCTTGAATAAACGTTGTCCAGCTTGGGTGGAAGTTGATGGGATTAGTGAGTTTTAAACATTGACTATTGGTTTTAAAGGGATTACACGCAACACCTGTTTTGCTTCTTTTTTAGTATTGAAGAGGAGAAAGTGGATTTTTCTGTTCTGTTAAAACACATAAATGCTAAAAGACAAACATGACATAGCCTAAAAAAATTAATTAATAGAAAAATAAAATACAAAAGAATATTTCTGTGGCAATGGAATAAATCTTTTTTTGTGACAAAATGTTTCTTTGACTATTTTGACGGTCCTATGAGATTTAGAAGCTGAACAAGAGAGCTCTGAAACTATTCATCTAATAAAAAATAATAGATTGCTGATTACAAGAATCAAGAATCAATCAAGAATCAAGAATTTATTTGCCATTAGATAACACAGTTACAATAGGCTTCGTCAACATATAATTTTTGTATAGAAAGTCAAAGTAAACATTAAAGTCAACATTAAAATACATGATTTAAAAATTCCTCAGTTGAATAAAATGCCTTATCTTTAAGCAACTTACAAATAGTGGTACAAAATTTCTTAAATGGTAACATTTTTATATCTAAAGGCAATTTGTTGTAAAATAAAATCTGATGGTAACTATGACTATTGAAATATTTTTGCAATCTAATACTAGGCCTAGCTATGTGGTCTCTTTGCCTAGTGTTATAGGAATGGACAGATGAGTTTGTATTAAACTTTTCAATATTCTTCTTGACAAAACAAAGATTGTGAAAGATACACAAACTAGGGAGAGTAAGTATACCAAGATTAGGGAAAAGGTTACGGCATGAGGCCTCTGCATCTAAACCAAACATTGCTCTTATAGCCTTTTTTGCCAAACAAAGGCGGTTTTGGCAGCAGCTGAATTTCCCCATAATCTGACACCATAGTTGAGATGGGTGTGAAAAAGACCATAATATATCATAATAATTACTTCTGAGCACACACAAGACCTTAACTTTCTTAACAAACAAGTGACACGTGACAATTTTTTACATAGATTATTTACATGTTCCTCCCAACACAGCTTACTGTCTAAATAAATACCAAGAAGTTTTACAGGTTTTAATAAATAATTATCATCTAATACTAGATTTAGCTGACTGCTTAAAGTAAATACAATGTGTTCTGTTTTACTTTCATTAACATTTAATTTGTTTGCTAAAAATCATGATTTTGATTCCTCCATAGCTATTTGTAGTCTGTGTTGAACAGTGAAAAAATCTACATCAGAATGTATCAGGGTGGTGTCATCCGCATACAAAACAGACATCACAGAAACATTTGAACTGTAGTCATTAATAAAAACTAAAAATAAAAAAGGGCCTAGGACAGAGCCTTGCGGCACTCCGACTGTAACTTGTAAGAAATCAGAATCATTATTATTACAACTAACCATTTGCTTTCTATTGCTTAAATAACTTTGGATCAAATTCAACTCTTTATCAACAATACCATAATGCTTTAGCTTATTACACAGAATATTACGCGAGACTGTATCAAAAGCTTTGCTTAGATCCACTAAAACAGAACTTACTACTTGTTTTTTCTCAAAACCATTTAAAACAAAATCCACAATCCTTTCAATCACATCTGCTGTTGAAAGGTTAGGTCTAAAACCAAATTGAGAAGGATAAAAGAGGCTGTTACTGACAAAATACTCATTAAGTTGGGTTACAATGCAAGTCTCAATAATCTTGCTCAATATGGGAACAATCGCTACTGGCCTATAGTTCTCTGGTTGGTTTACATCGCCCTTCTTATAAACAGGTATTACTTTGGTAGCTTTCAAGCAATCAGGAAAACATCCAGTGGCAAGAATTGAATTTACAATAAAAGTCAAAGGCTGCAATATTACATCAACAATGTTCCTCAACAAAAAGTTTGACATTCCATAGACATCTTCTGAACGAGAATTGCTCAGTTTACTAACCACAGACAATATTGTTTGTTCGTCAACTAGTTTTAGATTAAAATTACTATTACTAGAATCTGTTTTCCTAACACAATTCTTCAAATAATCTGAGTAGTCAAGGTTACTCACATCAAGACTATTGTTTTGCTCTGTAGAAGAATGACTAGATACATTAACAAAATATTCATTAAGTTGCTTAGATGTAATAGGAATCATAACATTTGAGTTTATTTCAAGGTTCCCTTCTTTTTTAGTGACTGCCCAAGCAGCTTTAGACTGGTTTTTGGAACTAGCTATAAACTTACTGTTAGCTGCAATTTTGGCCTTGGTAATCTCTTTTCTGTACTGGTTTCTAAAATTTTTAAGACTCAATTTATCCTCCAAACTTTTAGAAATCTTCCATCTGTCATTCATAAGCAGTAGGAGTCTATGCATATTACTCAATTCAGGAGTAAACCAGTTTATAACCTTAGCCTTGCTCTTAGGACTAACAGAGATTTTAGGACAACTAATGTTTAAATAAAAAGAGAAAATATTAAAAAAGACATTCACTGAGCTATTAACTTCATTAGTGTATACTCTACCCAGTATTGCCAGATTTGCCGGCAAAAATTATCGTACAAGCAGTCCAAAATTATCGTTTTTGGGGCAAAATTATCGTACACACAATTTTCTTTTATAATAATATTATTATAATGTAAAACAAGCAAGTCGATGATGGAATGGCCGAAATTTTACTCTATTTGTCTCTGCCGCCCACCGTTTTTGCTCTACCAGCCTACCACTGAGCTAGAAAAATGAAAAATATAAATTCAACCGGAGGCAGCACACTATCACACACACACGCGGAATCTGCATCTCTGCTAGAAAAAAAATGAAACGCTGTAAAATGGTGGTATTTTGGTTCTCAACTACAACTGGAAAAATCAACCAGCTCATTGCTTTACTTCATTCCCCTGGGATGCCAATGTACTGAGAACAATAATTAATTGAAGGTACAACGTAATCTACCCCTAGTACAAATGGCGGTCAACTTCTCTCAAAATTCTCCTATAAACACTTAAGTTGGTAGCCAATGGGCCCTTTCTAACACAGCTGATGCCTTTGCAAGGTTGCCAGATCGAACAGCAACAAAGTGATGTTACAGTTTTTCCATATATTAAAAGTGGGAAACGTGTTTAAATGTATAATAATCAATATGAAATAGTTTATTTTCCAGCCCCCAAAAAATAATCGTACATTATGACAAAAAATCGTACACAACGTCAAAATTATCGTACAATTTTTCAAAATTATTTTTTATGGGGAAGGAGCAAAATAATCGTACAAATACGATAATTATCGTACACCTGGCAACACTGACTCTACCCCACTCAGCATCCACCAGAAATTGCTTGAGACAGTTAATTTTACCCTCAGAAAGAAATCGGCATTTTTTAATTTTATTCTCACCTGATTTTTTAAAATCTTTTATACTCAGGTCAGTGCTGAAACTAAAGGTAGTCCATACACCTGCATGGTCAGATAGAATATACTGATCCAACAATCTAACCTCCACCTGGTCAGACATGACATTAGAGGCTACAACATCAAGACATGAATTGAACCTGGTGAATTCTTCATGAACAAAATATAAATCAAAAGATCTTAAGATATAACTTAATTCTAGGGTTTCATTGTCATGGGATTTGAGAATATCAACATTCAGGTCACCTGCAAGAATTACATATCTAAAAGGCTTAGGACTAGCAGTGATAAAAGGCATGACAAAAGGTGTATAACTTGATATTATAGTCATTGTTTCAATACCAGCGGCAAAAATGAATTAATAATTTCGGTTGGTTACACGGACAATAACGCTTGAACAGCAAGTTCAAGTTTATCATTGTAGATCACAGACAGAGACGTTAGAATTTCAAGAGGAGTCAGTTGTGAGAAGGTCGGATATGAGACTGAGAGTTTCTACTGTAATTGCATTTTCAAAGCATAATTTCAGTAGCACTTATAAGAAAAATATTATTTTATGTCCCTAAAATAGGCACTCAAGCCTAGACAAATAATAATTTGGGCTCGGCGTAAAGAAAAATTCCATACACCTAGTAAGGTAACCTTATTAAAGTAATGGTGGTAACAGATTTTTAGTATGTGTAAAGGCATCAGGCGTGAAGAGTTAGATACAATTTGTTTTCAGATACCAGCCAAGAAATTGAAGAGAAGCAACCAATCTTCACTCCGCAGCCCCAGTTAGATTACCACTCAACGAACTTTCTGACAAACCTGAGATCAGTTTGGAGCTTATGTATGTTTTCTTTATTGATAAAAAACTCAAATTTTGAACAAAAAACCTTATAAAAATGAAAATTTAAATGTGTGAATACACTGTACTACTCAAACCCCTAAGAGCTGAACCCCTCAAGAGATGAACATCCAGTTTGAAAAGTTTTAGTGATGTTAATTATAAGGAACTAAAAATAAGGCCTTTGTAGGAACCCTCGTACGATTACTTTAAAATCTTGTAGTTAGAATTTCTTTTTATGCACAATTGTGTATATTGTTTTCATTACTCACTTCTTATTTAGATAGAATTAATTATTTATCAAAATATCTATGTTAAATGTAATCTCTGATGTAAAATTTTCCTTATTTGATTTGCTAGTTGATTGTGAGTTTCCAATGCTATTTGCCGATCGGTTCCCTCTTCTTCTCAGTCTTCTTTTGACTTCTTTGTTCAGAAGCACTCTAACCTGCGATGATGTAATATGTGAGTTGAACATGTAACGTAAATGTTGGGCTTTAATCCATTTGATTGCTCAATACCTACCATTGATTGTTATTATGTTTGGGGTGCATGAGTTTTTGTTTGAATGAACATTCATTGTTAAAGATAAAAGATATCATTTTAAATATTATGTAAATTACTCGATACCACTTAGATAATTTCCATCATGTAATTTGCCAAACAAAGCTCATTACATTTACTTGCATGTTCATTACTTGCTAGGTAGCAACTCTGTCTTGTTTGTGCAAGACAAACTTGTTTGTGCATTTGATTATTGGGTGCAATTGTGTCAACTTTCTTTATCGGCCTCTTACAACTATTGAGCTGTCTGTTTATTGAAAATAATTAATATATTAGAATAAAAGGGTAGCAGATAACTTAGGCCTACCTTAGAAAAAATACAGGTAGGTCACAGTACCCACAGAAAACAAACAATTTTCTACACTCTGTGAGACTCTGTCATGGTAGTTTAGTCCAATTCTCTTTTTCTTAACTTGTCAAAATCATCCAAGGGACAAACTATTGTGTTTCCTTTCTGTGTACTATGCCCTACCTGCATACCTGTGATTCTAAAATCACAACACAAACCTGGCCTAGTGCCTTTCCTTAAACAAAACCAATTAATAACAATACCTAGTTCTTAAATTGTAAGAAATTTTCTCAATCCTCTTGATTTTAATAATGTCTTCATTAGTTCTTAAAACTCCTTGTTACATGCTAGGTTCTTTTTTTACTTGAGACTGTGTTGAAAATGACAAATGCATTCTTACAAACCCCACATTTTTTCAGGGAAGAAGAGTGAAAATGTCTCAAGAATGCTGCAGGAATATTTTCTATCAGTTGAAAATCCCTACGATTCAGCCTTCAAAGTTGCTGTTACCTGCCCTGACTTTTATCAGGGGAAACCTATGTCTTTACCTTTAGCAGGTACTTACTTGTATGGTTTGTTTGCCCCTCTGAATCACTGTATGGTATTACACTGGTGTAAATTATATTTACCACAGTAGTTCTGTTAAAATGTCATCAGTCATCAATAAACTACCATGATCATCATCAGACAAGGTTGTAGTGATATATAACTACTAACATTGGAAATACATACCACAAATGTAACTTGGAAACAATAAACCTCAATTCATTTTATACCCAAATCCAGTGGAGTAGGCTTTGTGATAGAATTGCAATACATTACAACCTAAAGTCTTGCATGATGAGGATTCTGTGATGGATTAAACCAGTCACCCTTCAAAGGAACATGGAACTCGACTAAACATAATTTATAGTAGGAATCAAAAATAAAGTCCCATTTCTGCAGGTAGAGTAGACCCGTCCTAATCCTGCTTGTCAAAACAACGCTATTGTTGGGAGTTCGGCAATGCAGGCGGGCCGGGAATACCGCCTTCCCCTCACTGTTCCTAGAAGAAATTCCGTGTTCTACTACATTTTGCATAAATTGAACCATAAGACTTGAAGCATCATGTGAAGACTCATTTTGTTCCTCTGAGAAAGAGGAATAAAAACAATTTTAAGTTAACGCTCTACGATTTCCCGTTATAAGGAAAAATGTAAAAATAGAAATAAGCTGATTAATAAACAAGTAAATTTCGACTCCAGTTGTACTTATAAAAATATATTGGCCGGTGCTTCCGGTAGGCAATAGGATATAAGTAGGGACGCCATTCAAGATTCTTGTCATTCGCCTATTGGGTCTGATGATGATTGGAGTGTCCAATCGAAATCGATCACCACTTACCATCTTTTTCGTATATTTACCGTCTTGTGAGTATCAGTATAAGCGTAAATATATGTTTTAAGTGTTATAAGACGTTTCTTTTATTTAATTTCCGTAACTATTCTTACTCAATCGAAGGTATTTTTTGTTATGTCGTTACACATATAATTTAGAACTCTTAGTGTCTTTTTAATGAGAATATACAATCATTAACGATCATAACATATTTTGAAGTAAATGTAACTGTTAGGTGGGGTAGGCTAATGTTTCTCGTGATTTGGTAATTTAGTAAGGTGGAATTTGAAACTATGACAATAATTCTGAGCAAAGCTTTATCTTATTTACTAGGGTCAATTGTAATTGCATGACTAATGATAACTTTTGATTGAATAATAGTGGACTATTTGGCTTGTTTCAGTTATTGAAGAGTTGGCTGTGTTTTTAAAACCGAATAAGGAGAAATACGCTTCGTGCCTTACTTTAGATATTAAATTTGATGTGTTTGATATATTCACCAAGCAAAGAAATGGACTACTCACAAAAATGGCATTTGAGGTGTATGAACTTCAATCCAGTAAAGAGATGTTTGTGGAAAGAATAAACAGTTTTATACAAAACCGACAGTACAAAGAGGTATGAATAGTTTACAGTCAAACCTTGATACAATAAACCTGAAGGGACCGAACAATTATCTTTTTGTTATGTAATGATTTCACACCCTTGACAGCTAATAAAGAATTAAGAGTGTTCAGTCTCATTGGTGTATTTTGTGAATCTTTTTGGTAGGGATGGACGAGATTGGATTTTTAGTTCGAGACGAGACGAGACGAGATTTTTTATTTCTCATAAAATTTCGAAACGAGATCGAGACGGGATTTCCCTTCTCATACACAACGGGAAATGCACGTTCAAAATTTTTACCTGATTTTGTAACATTGTTAGATGACTGTTTATATACAAAAATAATGATAATAGGCAAGAATATTTACAATCTATTATTAAAAAACATCAGCATAACATTTTTTATTAATCACGCCTAACTTATTAAAAATGCCTACGATTAGAAAACATAGTGATATCAGTTAGGATAGAGTTCAACTTATCCTAAAATAAAATAAATCATAAAATAAAAGCAATATTAATTTTTATAAAATAGTTACTTGTTTTGACTTTTTATAGTACAGTAATAAAACATTCCTCACACTGCTTACACTTAACAAAACATCTCAAATGTTATTAAAGTAATATTATTAAAATAATTAAAGTAATATTTACATTTAAAGAATTAATTAAATAAGAATGCCTTCGCAAAGGAAACGCAACTACAACACGCTCCTGTATTGCGGGTATTGCATTGACTTTCTGCAGGCGTTTTAATTTTTTTTTTTTTTTTTTTTTTTTTTTATTCTTGTCTCGATAAAAATCTCGGCCAAAAAGAAATCTCGTCTCGTGTAACGAGATTTAAAATTTCCCGAAAATTTCCCGAAATTTCGAGACTTGACCATCCCTACTTTTTGGTCACATTAGACTTAAATAGAGGGTGGAAGAAATATGTATAGGCCTAAAGATAACTTTTCCGAATATGGAGTGAATTGTGCTTTAAAGGGTATCTGCTTTACGCTAAATTTGATAAACGGTTTAAACTGGTGGAAAAATTTTTACCATATTTTTAAAATTTAAAGACCTTATCATATTGTTATTACACATTTTTTAAATATTATAAAAGTCAAACTTTTAATGGTTTTACATTTATAAAAGTCACTAATAAGATTTGTTTGGTTGTAGGCATGCCAGACGGCGATGTACCTGGGACTCGACCAGTTCGGCATAGAGGACTTTGTTGTGCCGCTGTTGTTCCAAGACAAGTTGACAATCGCTGAGGACTATTTGCGTATTAGTCCTGCCGCGCAGACAGCCACAGCTCAGTATCTCGATCAACTGCTGCAGGGTCGAGTCAACGAGAAGATCATGGATGTTATTAGGTAAGCTCAGCTGTTTGTTATTCATCACCGCAAGTACTTTTGTTTATTTCATTCTGATTGGTTAATAAATCAAATTAATTGAAAGAAATTTTTTCCCATGAAGTAACATTTTTTTTTGTCCACCGTATAACATTATCAAGCATACCATTGTAACAATTGTGTAAAATTTGTGACACTTAATATGATACATTTCCAAAACACTTGCTTGCAATTTCAACATAATATGATTGTGTATAATGGTGGTTAAAGATCATATAGGCTAAATTATAATGACACAATGTTGACAAGCCAAAAACATTCCTTTATGCAAACAAAGTCAGGAGGTAATAAATAAATTTATTCAGTAGTGTATCACTATTGATAAGTAGATAGATCATCACTTAGATATATCATTATTTTACCAAAAGATATAAAAATGAATTTCATAGCAGACAATTTTATTGTAGTTATTTTACTCCTATGAGGAATTTTAAAATTTATAATATTGTGAATAGACTATATGTCCCATTTCTCACTTACTCTATTCATTGTACTTGTATATTTATGGATAAAGGTGATTTTGATTTGATTTAATTTAATTTAGATAATGGACTCTGATGTTTGCTGTGAAACCTGAATTTTTTCATCTCTGAAATTTGGTAGTTAATATTCCAGTCATTGTTAATTGAATTGGTTATCATGTAGCTGATTCAATGACATTAGGCCTGCTCTCACACAAATATATCCTATCAAATAGGGTTTGACCACAGAGTGTAAGATCTGCAGCGTTGTCGATACCTTACAATCATAATCACAAATTTTAAACGTTGTACTTGTAGCTTATGAGATTTATAATTAATTAAGTTAATTTTTGTATGAAACTATTTTTGAATATTCATAGGCGAAGGACCAGTCCCTGGTGTTAGGACAAATGAGAAAAACATAAATGAAACAGTACTATCTTATTAGTCAACTGATTCACACCAAGATGTTGACGCACAAGGTATATATTTTATCATATTTTTGATTTTATATCCCAGTTTTCATTTGATATTTTGGTGTGGCGAATAATAGCTGTATTACATCAGAGGAACTGTTTTGATTTTTCGAACCTTAAGAGTCTTCCTTAGTGGTAGCCATGTTGGATTTCTTCCCCATAAGAACAATGTTAAACATTACATCATTTGTGGACACGTAACGGCGTTATTTGTTAAGATATAGCTTTGAAATTTATAATTTGTATTTTTAACATAATAGACTAGTGACTGAGGTTTTTGAATTTCGAAAATCCATTTTCATTTCCTTTCAATAATTAGCTTAATTTTAAGCTAATTAATAATCAATTATTCATTATAAAAATTAAAAATTGTGGAATAAAAAACGTCAATCTCTAGAGGACCGCAATTCCTTAAATTTAACTCCTTATCCATAATTATATGACAATTTGCTGATGAGATATTTGGACCCAAAGTTAACATTGTTCTTATGGGGAAGAAATCCAACATGGCTTCCACTAAGGAAGACTCTTAAACTGTAGCTTTTAACTAACTGTTGGTGTTACAGACAGCTGAATATCCCAGAACCAAAACAAGAAAAGCTGCAGTACAAACCCATGTCAAAGCTATTGGCGAGGTTTTTGAAAATATTCAATATTCATCCTAGTAGCTGCCCAAACCTGACTCGCAAGAAAAGAGAGGGAGCTTTGCATTTTGTGATTTGTAAACGCTACAAGTACAATGAAATCGGTGGGTATTTTAAAATATCCTTTCAACCGCTTTTATGTTGGTTTTGATTTTTGATTATAAGTTGTGTTTTTTGGTCTATGAGATGACTTTGATGCTGCTAGTCAAGTTGCTAGTTGGTTATGTTCAAAGAGCTATCTACAGTAAGGTTAATGTAGATTATTTATATTCTTGTTGGCCACACAATCTGAGCGGTTTATTTTTGTTTATTCTTACCTTGTAAAATCAATTAGGTACCACAGTATTGTGAGTATAATCTTTAACAACTTATCACTCAACTGCTTTTGATTGAGCTCCTCTATTGTTTTATATTTAAAAAGTGATTTTTTTTTTAAATTTTAAGAACCTACATAGGCCTACAATATTTTTTACAAACAATTCAGCATGTAGAACAATGAATTTAGGCTTAGCTTTAGCTCAAACAAACGGAACATGTAAAGGAAACAGAAAAATGGAAAAGTCTGATAAACCTCATGAAACCCCGGCTTGCAAGTTGTAGTCAAAGTTATGATTTGCCTGTACAGAGGGTGAGTGTTGGAGGGAGATGGTGTCAGAGGCAGTATGTGGAGACTCGTATCTGGAGGAGGAGTTAGTCGCTGCAATCAATCTGCACGGAGACGTTGTGGAGGCTGCATTCTTTGCTCGCAAGTTGTAGTTGTTATAGTTATTATTTGCCTGTTCAGAGGGTGAGTGTTGGAGGGAGATGGTGTCAGAGGCAGTATGTGGAGACTCGTATCTGGAGGTGGAGACTCGTATCTGGAGGAGGAGCTAGTCGCTGCAATCAATCTGCACGGAGACGTTGTGGAGGCTGCATTCTTTGCTCGCAAGTTGTAGTTGTTATAGTTATTATTTGCCTGTTCAGAGGGTGAGTGTTGGAGGGAGATGGTGTCAGAGGCAGTATGTGGAGACTCGTATCTGGAGGTGGAGACTCGTATCTGGAGGTGGAGACTCGTATCTGGAGGAGGAGCTAGTCGCTGCAATCAATCTGCACGGAGACGTTGTGGAGGCTGCATTCTTTGCTCGCAAGTTGTAGTTGTTATAGTTATTATTTGCCTGTTCAGAGGGTGAGTGTTGGAGGGAGATGGTGTCAGAGGCAGTATGTGGAGACTCGTATCTGGAGGTGGAGACTCGTATCTGGAGGAGGAGCTAGTCGCTGCAATCAATCTGCACGGAGACGTTGTGGAGGCTGCATTCTTTGCTCGCAAGTTGTAGTTGTTATAGTTATTATTTGCCTGTTCAGAGGGTGAGTGTTGGAGGGAGATGGTGTCAGAGGCAGTATGTGGAGACTCGTATCTGGAGGTGGAGACTCGTATCTGGAGGTGGAGACTCGTATCTGGAGGAGGAGCTAGTCGCTGCAATCAATCTGCACGGAGACGTTGTGGAGGCTGCATTCTTTGCTCGCAAGTTGTAGTTGTTATAGTTATGATTTGCCTGTTCAGAGGGTGAGTGTTGGAGGGAGATGGTGTCAGAGGCAGTATGTGGAGACTCGTATCTGGAGGAGGAGCTAGTCGCTGCAATCAATCTGCACGGAGACGTTGTGGAGGCTGCATTCTTTGCTCGCAAGTTGTAGTTGTTATAGTTATGATTTGCCTGTTCAGAGGGTGAGTGTTGGAGGGAGATGGTGTCAGAGGCAGTATGTGGAGACTCATATCTGGAGGAGGAGCTAGTCGCTGCAATCAATCTGCACGGAGACGTTGTGGAGGCTGCATTCTTTGCTCGCAAGTTCAACATTCCTGCACACAAGCTGCCTTACAATGTAGTGACATACCTCAGGACTGGCACTTTGTAAGTACCAGTGTTCTCTATCTTTTAACATGAAATTTGTTTTGCAATCTTTATGTTTAATCTTATTTTTTTAAATCTCATGTAAGTAGGGATGTGACGATTGTTGATACTGATTTTAGATACCACTGATTCTTGAACATTAGTATCATTATCGAGGTGTGTTGAGGATCTCGCATTTGGTTCTCCTTCTGAGGAGCTTTGGCTACCCACAAATCATAAATAGCATTTTGCATTTGGCCCTTGTGATTATTTTTTTGTAGTACATAAATCTAATGAATAAATAGCTGTATTAAATAAAATAATTAATCCTGGAGTTAATTGAAATGTACTATGTTCATCTTGGATAAAAATGATCTAAATCTAAAAATACAAACACAATAGGCAAGGCCTTGCACAAAAACTGTCTGTAAATAATATGTGTTCCTTTTATGGTAAATGTACCAATTTGGAATCTAGTGTTGCATTAGATAAAAAAGGCTAACTTTCTGTCCAAACTTGGAACTTGCAGTATTTTTAAACTCATTCATCTATCAATAAAACGAGAAATTGCAATGGTTATACTATTCTACTTTTATCACTACTAGTACGCTCAGTAGTTTGTGAACCAGCATCATCGGGCTATGGGAATGGTGTTTTATGGGGGTAGAGCTATCATTTTGTAGAGCTAAACAAATGTTGTAAATTGATGTGTTGTTGTTATTATGCAATATGGTTATGGAGAAAAGTTCAAAATACGGTAAGTTTAAAATTTTCATGCTATTCTTATGGAGATTAAGTAAACTGTTGTAGTTTGCTTGTTTATAAATGGATTTTGAACAAATTTGGCATTTTTTATATCTCATAGCACACTACTAACATTGCTGCTGCAGGGGTTTTATTTTAGTGATAACGTGACCCTCTAGGCTTAGCCTGAAGTAATGTGACAATGGTTGTGGAGCCTAGCACCCTTAGAATGAAGGGGGCAACGTCGTTACTTAAGATTAACAATGTGATGTTTGTCAGAGAGTACCACTACTCGCCGCCACGAGTGACTGTGCCGAGGAAGGTGCTGCAGTTACCAGAGAGTCACATAGTTATGATGGTGGACACAGATGAGTCACTAGCCCGCTGTGTGGAGGCTGTGTCCAACACTCACGTCGTGGGGCTGGATGCTGAGTGGAAGCCTGCATTCTGCTCTGAAACTGAGGCACTCTCACTACTGCAGGTTAGACGTTCCAGTCCAATGTGTTGTTGTCAGTTTTAAAATGCCACCTGACAGATTATGTTGATGTCCATAATCATCCATAATGATTTCTGTTGTGTCAACATTGCTGATTTCTGTTGTGTCAACATTGCCAATTTATCAAATCAACAATGCACTTTACAATTTTAATGCAGAGTTCATACGTAACTTTGTATTTTCATTTTATTTGTAAAAATACACAAGCAGATTTTGTAAGATTTTGTTAGTGAACGGTCCAAACCCTGATCATGTTACTATCTAACGTCGACCTTTTGTTTGGTATAATAATTAAGCCCTGGTCCAGAAATGATATCGCTGTGAATCAAACCAGCTCAGATTTGAAGGCGAGCACTATAACATACCCGGCTTCTCAGACGATTTCATAGTCTCAATTAAACACAATGTTGCTTAAATAATGGGACTTATAATGGCACCTTAGTTTGAAATATATTATACTACATATCCCTTAAATATTTTTGCCAAAGTTAATTTAATTCTTCACATAGAAAACTGTGAGTTGCATACTAAATGTGAACATGATTCGACAGGTGGCCACTCACGAGGAGACATTCCTGGTGGATGTCCCGGCTCTACAACACAGTCCTGTGTGGAAAGACCTCAGCCAGGGGCTGTTCTTGAATCCAGACATTTTAAAGTTGGGTAAGTAGTTGGAATCATGCTTTAGCAAATTAATTTTCTTCATACTGCAGCCAAACGGCTGTTATCAGTATGTGAGTTATTGGGCTAAAATAGCTCTTTTCTCCCTAGGGCAAAAATAATCAGGTTGAATTGAGGATATCAGCAGTTCAGTTTTCTGTAAAGTTTGCCCACTGATTTTGCCCATTTTGAAATGGGTACAATTGACAAATTAGTTTAATTCTCTTTTTAAATCTGTGAATGAATGAGTTTGGTACTCTCTTATTATATTTTAACGATAGTTGATTAGGAACTAAGTTTATTAATGATTATCATTTTTCAATACACTAAATTAATTAATTAAAATAGTTTAAGAAGTAAGGATTCCATGGCCACTAGCCATTAACCAACACTGTAAACTAGGATTTCTGGTTACAACTATAACTTATTTCTTAATTCTGTGACATGGCCGTACCCAGAAAACCTAGTTTGTAGACAACTAGGCAAGGCATGGATCATGAACGCAGGCTTTTCTAAATTGAAATCACTGTTCAGTGTTGCTTAGAATATGCAACTTTTAGATTTATGTAAATTGTGGGATGTTTCCAAATAATTCTTTTATTTCTAGGTTTTGGACTATCAGTTGACTTGTTGAAGCTGAAAGAGAGCATAAACATGAATGATGTTAAGATGGCAGGATTAGGTTTCCTAGATTTGAACCTCTTATGGAAAAAATTGATGAGGGAATTCAATATTACACTACCATTCAAAGGTAACGTAAAGAACTGTTGTATCAGTAAGTTGTGTCACTCTGGAGTCATCAATATTCAAGATGTATTTTCAACTTGCTTATTTGCACACGGTGGAATAGCATCCAATTTCTAATTTTGAATGCACCAAGTTCTTAAGGCATCCATCTATTGTCAAGTCAATCAAGAACAAATCGCCACTGTTTAAATCTTGTCTACATTTAGTTTTCGGTTAATAACCAACAAGAAACCATTATTACCTTTTTAAATTTTTTAAATTTATTGAACACTTTTGAATTCTTTGCTTGTCTTCCATTTTTATTCGTATATTGTAAGGTAATGTTTATCATGTTGTATTTGGAACATTTCTGTATTAGCAAAAATGATTTACTTTTCTCAACAAAATTCTCGATAATCGACAATAATAAATGTTAATAATTTATCGTTATACCCGTTAGGGGTGGACAACTATTCAGTACAACAAACGCTACATGGTCATTAACATCTACTATTACTCGTATAATCACTTTAACGTCTAAAAAATATCACTAAAACAGTTAGTTTCTTACTCTCTACAACATTAGAGACATGTTCCAGGTGAGGAAAGTGACACGGTGGAGGGTCTGTCAAAACTGGTCTCATTGTGTGTGGGTTTGCCATTGGACAAGTCTGAGCAGTTCTCCAACTGGGACCGCCGGCCTTTGAGGGATGCCCAGAGGAACTATGCAGGTAAAAATATCCCTACCAACCTCAGGTAAACTATTTAGTAAAGCTTAACCGGAAATAAATAGACACATCAAGTTCTATAACTAAATTGTTTATATACATAATTCAATTATTTTAACCTTTTTAGACACTGTAACCTGTTTCACTGATCAATACATTTTTTAACCTAAAAAATATCCTATGAAATAATTTAATAGTAGAGTGGATATAGTGATCGCGTAGTAATCAGAAGATTGCTGGTTCGATCCTGAGAAAGATCAGTAGCTTTTTGGTGGTTCATAATTGAACCCAGCTGTCCTTTATTATCGTGCTTTTAATGGTCCTTGCTAAAAAAAACCAGCTGATTAAGATCAGCATCAAAGCTATCAGCTCATTTATTAAACACTTAACTTCAACCCATCTTCCGGTTGAATAAAATACTGACAGTGATTCTAAATATTGCTGGATCAATTTCGAGTGGGACCGAATCTAGACCTAGTTGTTATTTGTTCAAGCCCCAACAAACCTTTTAATAACATTGTACACATTGTAATAAGGTTGGTTAACCTTTTCTTTTGGACTGTTAATTAATGATGCTATCTAACAAAAGATCAGGTAGAAAAAAAGATCAGGGTTTGGTCCATCCGTTACGAAATATGTGAAAAAACCTGCTGTATAAAACTCAAATCTAATCTCAAGTACGCTGTTTTCTATCCATATTTGTTCTATCCATGTCCAAAAGTTCTAATATTGTTTTAGAACAGGAACTTATTGAATAGAGAGGTAGAAAGATCTAAACATCACATACTATATGTTGCAGCTTTAGATGCCTATTGCCTGATTATTGTTTATGAAGTGTTGGCCCATGAGTGCATCAATCAAGGAGTACCATTCCAGGATGTTTGTCAAGATCTTATGATAGCTGGAGCTAACGTCACCAAAAAACCTAAGAAGAAACCATTACCGTCTCGTAAGGTATGAGCGATTTGTTCAAGTTATAAATGCACATCGGTGTTGGAAAGTACAAACTATTTAATGTTGTTAAATATGTGTAATTACCATCAGTTTGTTGTATTTTTACGAATATATTTGTTTTCTATGTTGACTTAAAATAATTAATGATAAACCCCACCAAAAGTTAATCTAAATGGGAAGTTTAGATGTTGGTTTTGATTTGAAATTGCTTCAACCAGTAGTTTTATATAATTAATTTTACTATTGATGTAAAACAATTTTTCTGAACTAATCAACAAACTTAATCAAATTTATCTCATCGTAAAATTAATTGATATTGCTATCAGCTATGCAATCAAAACATAAGATAGCTCAAGTCCAATATCAATGTAGTTCAAGTTCTGAAATTATGGTGTCTTCATTTGTTTTGCTGCATTATAACTGTAAAGTTAAATCTAATTTGTTTATGTGTTGTTTTTAAATAGTGTTTAGTTACGGTAATTCTTTTTCAATCAAATACAAATACTCTTATATAAAGTCAAGTGGGACAAGTGTGTTCGCTGACCACCAACTTTTTGTTTTAACTTTAAAAATATGAAAGTTATCACAAAACCTTAATGGTTTCATTGTTTGCAAAATTTAAGTTTAAAACTAGAAAAAAACTAAAATTATAAATTTTATGGACAAAATTCAAAACATGCCATTTTTAAACAATAGACAAATACCTAAAAAAGACTCGGAGGTAAGTGTTTGAGAATATCTCAAAATCGTCTCCAAATGGTGATGTTTTTAATGTGTTGAACTAAATATATATATTTTTTCCGTAAGTTTGTATTGTTGTGTATTATCTTGTGTCCAACCTTTTATATTCTATTTTAACAGGTTAAAGCATCAATTCAAATAAAAAATAAAAGACAATCATGTTTATTAGCACATGAACGTATAGAGGTTACAGATAAATGTACAGGTGCTTCGTCATTCTTCTTATAGCCTAATCTTAATAATGTCCTTTGTTAAAATGAAATAACTGTCTTAAAAGGTATTTAGTAATAATAAACAAAATACTTGTTTTACTTGCTTTATTGTTATTGTATGACAAATGGAAATATAGCAAAAATGTAAATGATAGGAACAATTTTAAAAGGTACAAAAGCATGTATACAAACAAGATAAGAGAAGGCAAAATCACTGCTAATGACAAACTAATTGCTCAATCCAAAAATACATGTAAAAAAACTTGGGAAAGAATCAGGACAGATTAAAACATTTTCCAAAACAACTTTAACACCTAACACTCTAAACAATTTCTTTACTTCTGTTTCAAACAACACACAAAATAAACTCTATAATGATGATAATGTAATTACTCATCTTGAATTGTTGAGTAACTGCCCTAAGCCATATTCTAATATTCCTGACATCCAGATATTTAAATGGGACCCTTGTTGATAAACATAAAGTGCATTCTTTTGTCTGTAAACTTAGTGGTTCCCGTAGTGAAGATTTGTTTGGACTCTCCAATTTTACTCTTAAATACATAGTTAATTTTATCCTGGAACCTTTAACACATCTTATAAATTTCGCTTTAATTGAAGGAAAGTTTCCTGATTGTTTAAAAACCTCCAGAGTAACGCCAATTCACAAGAAAGGCGACAAGAATGTCCCATCAAACTATCGTCCAATAGCTTTGGTTCCAATTTTAGGAAAAATAATTGAATCATGTATGCTTGAGCAGCTTCAACACTTTTTTTACTGTTAATAACCTTTTATATAAACGTCAATACGGCTTTAGAGCCAACTGTTCAACCACAATGGCTGTAGAAGAATAAATTAACCAAGTTTTGCAAGGGTTTGAAGACAAGTTGGTGACAGGTACATGCCTTATTGATTTGACCAAGGCCTTCGACACAATCTCCCATCCCATTCTTCTTGAAAAACTATATTACTATGGCGTTAGGAACCGTGAACTCAACATCATTCAATCCTACCTGGAAAACCGTAAACAGCAGGTCGTGATAGGAGATGATTATTATGATATTTTAGAATTGAATGCTGGTGTTCCGCAGGGGTCCATTTTAGGACCTTTCCTGTTTTTTATTTTTATTAACGACTTTAGTTTTAATATCCCTACTCAATCAATACTTTATGCTGATGATACTACCCTGTTCTGTAAAGATGATAATGTTTTAACAGTTGAGTACGATCTTAATCATGCCCTAAACTGTGCTAAATTCTGGTATAAAATCAATAATTTGGCTATCAATGAGGAAAAAACAGAATACATCTACTTTTCACTAAAAAAAGATCAACCCACTGATGCTTATTAAACAGTCAAACTCTTAGGGATCCATCTTGACAACAGACTAAGCTGGAATAACCACATTACACAACTTTGTAAAAGATTGGCTAGAATAACCTGTCTCTTGAGAAAACCTAGATCATGTGTGAGTTTGAACACTCTAAAAATGACTTACTACGGTTTGTTTCACTCACAGCTGCTTTATGGTTTGCGTCTCTGGGGTGGTTCACACTTAGCTCAGAAAGCATTTGTTTGGCAAAAGAAAGCTCTTAGAGCCATGCTAGGATTGCAAGATCATGAATCCTGTAGGGATCACTTTTCCATTTTAAATTTGCTTACACTGCCATCTATGTACATTCTTTGTAATTTAATTCATATAAAAAACAACCCCTTAAAATTTTCTAGCTATTCTCATCCATACAACACGAGGCACAAAAACAACCTAGTCACACCTCAAATCAGACTTTCAAAAACTTTAAATAGCCATTTTTACATCCAACATATTTTCTTTAACAAGCTACCCACTTGTTTTTCGTAAACTACCTCTAAACCAATTTAAAAGAAAAATTGCTGAGTTTTTAAAATCAAAAGCATTCTACACGCAGGAAGAATTTTTAAATAGAGAAATATCATGTTTAGATTCTAAATAGGATATTGTATGTATTGAAATTTATAATTGATGTATGATCTATTTTTAAGTACTATTGTAACAATGCCTATTACAAAATGTTATGTTTAATGGCTGCAATAAATCTTATTGAATCTTATAGGCTGTGAATACAACCGTATTCATTGCTAGCTAAAGGTTTAAATGTTGTACAAGAGAATTTGGTCATATGTATATACTAGCTGTAACCCGCGGGCTTTGCCCCGTTTAACTTCTTAATTTTCAAGATTATCTCGTTCGCATGGCTCAATCACGTCCTGGTTGAAGTTTGTTCGCTACGCTCACTCACCTATAGGTTGAAGTTTGTTCGCTACGCTCACTCACCTATAGGTTGGAGCTCGTTCGCTACGCTCACTCACCTTTAGGTTGGAGCTCGTTCGCTGCGCTCACTTGCCTTCAGGTTAGCTCGTTCGCTACGCTAACTCGCCTCTAGGTTGAAGTTCGTTCGCTACGCTCACTCACCTTTTGGTTGCAAATTAGCTGTTGTCATAAATGTAAAAGAAATAATAGTGCTGCACCCTGTTGGTAATCCTTGTGACTTTAATGCTATTGAACATCATAGAGCAGAACCAACTTGTTTAATTGAAACAGCTGTTAAGATTCAATAATTCCATTTCTCATAAGGTTAACATGGGAAACTCCAGAGCCACTGGGGCGGAGCCCGAAAGGATTTTTGAAATAAGAATATGCCTATATGTTAATCGGGAATGTGAGCTATCATCATGCCAAATTTCAGCCCAATCCGACCAGTATTTTTCGCGTTCACTTGTCACAAACATACATCCATACATCCATCCATACATCCAAACTTTCTCATTTATAATATTAGTAGGATTAATTTGAATAAATCTAAGGGTGCGTACACAAAGAACGCCGGTTGCCGGCGCCGGCAAACCGGCAGCTTGCTCCTCGTGCTTATAAGCGCGGCAAAAGCTTGGAAGCCGTACACAAAGAAAGCTGGTTACAAGCGCGACAAGTCAGTTCACATTGAGCAGTGTCAGATGTCTTCGTCTAGTGATGATGTGTTTTTGGCGGAGAGTGTTCATGTAAAATTATTGCAAAGGAGGAAAGTCGGTGTTCATGTTATTAATAGACAAAGAAACTTGGTGAATACCATCACTTGTTTCCGCAACTAAAAGGTGACCCACAACGGTTCTACACATACACGAGAATGGAGCTAGCGACTTTCGATTACATATTAAGAAACATTGAAGGACGTTTAGTTAAAAAATCACCTTCTTTTGATAAACTTTGGAAATTAAATCATCTGTATCAACCATCGCGCTATGACACCCACCAACTGCACAGTACATAGACCACTCGCGGACTGAGCCGGTTGCCGGAACCGGCTTATAAGAATGTTCTCTTCATACTTGTTTGCCGGTTGACGCCGGCAGCTCGCGCTTGTTGCGCTTGTTGAGCCGGCACCGGCGTTTACTGTGTACGGGCACACTTGAAACCATGTTAAGTTCTTCTCGAGCCGGGACGCGCTTACAGCGGCCGGTTTGCCGGCGCCGGCAACCGGCGTTCTTTGTGTACGCACCCTAATAACAAAAATAATATTAATACACCATGAAACTATTGATCACGTTTCTTAGATGACTAACTTACCAACATATTATTATGTTTCTGTCTGTTGTCAATTATTGTTAGTTTCATTAATTTTCTGTCTAAATTTATATAAATTTTACTCATAATTTTGTTTTTATTCGAAGTGCTTTTGACAAAATTAAAATAAGCTTAAACCCCTCTTTTTTGTTTCAAAACTGCTAAATTTTGCCCCGGACCCCGCCCCCCCTTGTTTGCTGAGGGTATTCCGCACCCTCAGTGTTTGACCCCCCAAGGATTTGGTGAAATGACACCACTGATTGAACAATTCAATTGTTGTGTTGTTGATTGTTCAATTGTTTGAACGGGAGCTCAGGTTTCAAGGATGTGTGTTTGAATAGTAGCTTTGCCTGGTAGGAAAGACGCCATCCTGCAACTAGTCAATCAATAGAAGGAGTTTAAAATATCCTTCTTGAACCTTTGTGGGTTGTAAATAACGATGTCAGTGACTGTAAAATATGACATTGTTCTTTATAGTTTAGTCGTAATGTTTATATCTGTATTTACAGGGTCGACTGTACAATTTAGGTAAGCATATCCTGTAAAAACTTATTATTGTTTATTTTTTCAGCAGCAGTGACAAAGGTTACCGGTTCGATACTGAGAATAGTTGTGATCTTTTCCATGGTTCTAAGCTGTCCATGATCATTAGGCTTTTAACTAATCGTCCCGGCTAAGAAATATTTTGTCTTAACCAATAACAAAACGGAATCCACTCACCCTAAATTCATATTGAGTTTGAAATAAGTACTTAATTGTGTGCGATTGCAGGTATTTGAAGAGCCAACGACTCAGTCCTCTAAAAATCGGCCAATCAGAGTGGCCGATTTTAAAGTGGTGTGTGACACAATGTTACAAGGACTCGGCCGCAGTCTGCGCTCTGTGGGTGTGGATGCTGAGATCCTCAGCAATACACAGAACCACAATGTCTGCGTGGCCTTGAACAGAGAACAGAACAGAGTCATTCTGACCAAAGGAGCTGTCTATGATAGAGTGAGTTAGGGATGGACAAGATTGGATTTTTAGTTCGAGACGAGACGAGACGAGATTTTTTATTTCTCATAAAATTTCGAGACGAGATCGAGACGGGATTTCCCTTCTCATACACAACGGGAAATGCGCGTTCAAAATTTTTACCTGATTTTGTAACATTGTTAGATGACTGTTTAAATACAAAAATAATGATAATAGGCAAGAATATTTACAATATTTTATTAAAAAACATCAGCATAACATTTTTTTATTAATCACGCCTAACTTATTAAAAATGCCCACGATTTAGAAACATAGTGATATCAGTTAGGATAGAGTTCAACTTATCCTAAAATAAAATAAATCATAAAATAAAAGCAATATTAATTTTTATAAAATAGTTACATGTTTTGACTTTTAGCGAATTTCCCTATAGGGAAGTAGCTATTACCGTAGGTCTCATGTTAAGACCTAGGCCCGGGACCGATTTACTTTTTCATTTTGATGTCCCCAGAGGCCAAAAACACCATTTGTTCAAATTTTTATATATCTATATATATATATATATATATATATATATATATATATATGTGTGTCCATCCGCACGATAACTTGAGTAATTTTTGTCCGATTTTGATAAAATTTGGTTTGAAAGTGTAAGGCGGGATAAACTTGAACGAGTTCGCGAACCAGCATGATCGGACTATGGGAACGGGGGTTTAAGGGGGGTTTTATGGGGTAAAAATAGGTTTTTCCCATTTTTGACCCAAAAAACATAAAATTTTGCAAAATCTCTTCAAACCATTTTGTAGGGCTTAAAAAAACAAATAATTTAGTATATTGAAGTGTTACTATGCGCCTAATGGTTACGGAGAAAATTCCAAAAAAAATGAAAATTTTTAATTCCCATGTTATTTTTATGGAGAATAAATAAACTGTTGTAGTTTGCTTGTTTATGAACATATTTTGATCAAATTTGGAAAATGTTTTTATTTCTTACTAACTATTAACATTTTACAAAAAAAAAACTGTTTTACCCTCCCTGATGCAGCAAACCTAAGTACCTGTTAAACTAATTCTATTTAAATAGGAAATAAATGTTAAATTTTTAAGTAGACATTTTAGTGTAAATCCAATCAGACATATGGAAATTCGCTTAGTCTGCAGGTTTGCTGCGGCGGGGGTATTTATAGTAATAAAACATTCCTCACACTGCTTACACTTAACAAAACTTCTCAAATGTTAATAAAGTAATTTTATTAAAATAATTAAAGTAATATTTACATTAAAAGAATTTATTAAATAAAAACGCCTTCGCAAAGGAAACGCAACTACAACACACTCCTGTATTGCAGGTATTGCATTGACTTTCTGCAGGCGTTTAAAATTTTTTTTTTTTTTTTTTTTTAATTCTCGTCTCGATAAAAATCTCGGCCAAAAAGAAATCTCGTCTCGTGTAACGAGAATTAAAATTTCCCGAAAATTTCCCGAAATTTCGAGACTTGACCATCCCTAGAGTGAGTACATGTAGTCTGGTAGGCTTCCAAATTATTGTTTTCTGGTCCCACTCTTCACCACATGTATACAAATTTCACTTACATGTTACTACATCACTGTGAATTTTTGAATGGAATTTGTGCACTGATAAAAACAATTTACAAGATTGTAAATTCACCAATGAATTATGCCAAGTGATGAATTTCCAGTTCCTACAGATTATTATTATATATTTCTCTAGTGGTACAAATTTGTAATAAAATTGATTGAAATAAAAATATGGTGTTCAATTGGCTGAGCCCCATTCATATTAGAATAAAAACCAACCACGAATCAAGTCAATCCGAAAATATTTGTTTATGTCTTAAATGAATCTTACTAACAAGATGAAGTTCTAGTTGTAAGACTTGCATTTAAATGGGTTAATATAATGGGTTAGGGTTACCTATTTTATCTCTGTGGATGATTTTATAGTACCAGAACCTGAGCCTTGTGGTAAATAGGGTTTAATAGTTACAACAATATAAACATAATAATTTTAATAAAAAAAAGTCATTGAAACCTTTGGTTCATTTTTCACGCTCACCGATGAATATGAAATAAACATTAGTTTCGAAATGGCTCTCCTTTCATCATGTTATCAAAGTCTTCATTTTACGGTGGTATATTAGGTGAATAACTTTTTTGTTTTTGCACTATTACTTCTAAAGAAATTTAGATTCTTCTATTTCATTGGGGTTTGGCATACGGTAATAGTTTTATTTCAATTAAAACCCCCATTGATCATAAATCTAGTTGGATTTTTTTCATATAAGCTGAAATCTCATTCTGCTTCTGTAATTTTGCTGATCTAACTTCATAAGTCCAGTGCTATGACTTGTAGTTACCAAATGAGTTTTTTCAGCAACATGCAAAGTGTTCCTTGTGATACCAGTCCACAAATACATTTGTAGCCCCAAAATTCTCCATTCTTAAAATTCCAACCAAATTCTTTCCCTATTAAAAAAAATAAATGTTGTTAGAAAATCCAGAAAAAATCAGAAATTGCTTGTCAAATTATGAGATAGGATAAAAATAGTATGCCTGGAGATTAAGCTCTCTTCGGGGGTGTTCTTTAGTGTGCTCTCAAAGCATTGTTTGCTCAAACCATATGTCTAATTTGAACAAAACCACAAAAAGTTGAATCTTTTCTGACAAATTCAAATGTTACTTCTCAGGAACAATCATGTTGGAAAACGTCATTCTTTGTGTAACTAAGTAGTGTGATTTGTTTGCTTGGTATCTATCTATACAGGGTGAATTTTAAATAAGTTCCCCCCCTAGTTTTTTCTACATTTCTTAAGATATCAACTTCGGACCACGTCAGATCATTGTACTGTAGTAAGTACTTCATTTTGACTGAATAAACATTTTTGGCCGCCATCTTGGATCCGCCATATTGGATACAAAATTTTTTTTTCAAATGTAAAGGTAGAGTTGTGACCCATTGTTTCAAACTAGAATTTTACGTTGATTACAATGCCGCAATTAGTTTAAAAAAATCTTGATCCGATCTAAAGTTATGAAGACTTTTTATAACTTTATTTTTAGCCCATTTTAACATTGTGCATTTACAAACTAAGACCATAATCTCAAAATAGTGCTAGATAAAGATAAGTATACACCACCATTCATTGTCGACCTATTATCACTTGGTTATGACGGATGTATTTTTTTGGCCGCCATCTTGGATCTGCCATTTTGAAATGTGATAGATTAATTTAAATATGAAGGTGGTGTTGTGACCCATCATTTTGAACTACTTTTTTATGCTGAACTCAATGCCGCAATCCGTTTTTGTTTATCAGGCTTTCTTGATGAAATATTAAAATTATCTTACTTAAATTTCCAATATTTCAAAAAACAAATATGAAGATGCAAACGGATTGCGGCATTAAATTCAGCATAAAAAAGTAGTCTGAAATGATGGGTCACAACACCACCTTCATATTTAAATTAATCTATCACATTTCAAAATGGCAGATCCAAGATGGCGGCCAAAAAAATACATCCGTCATAACCAAGTGATAATAGGTCGACAATGAATGGTGGTGTATACTTATCTTTATCTAGCACTATTTTGAGATTATGGTCTTAGTTTGTAAATGCACAATGTTAAAATGGGCTAAAAATAAAGTTATAAAAAGTCTTCATAACTTTAGATCGGATCAAGATTTTTTTAAACTAATTGCGGCATTGTAATCAGCGTAAAATTCTAGTTTGAAACAATGGGTCACAACTCTACCTTTACATTTGAAAAAAAAATTTTGTATCCAATATGGCGGATCCAAGATGGCGGCCAAAAATGTTTATTCAGTCAAAATGAAGTACTTACTACAGTACAATGATCTGACGTGGTCCGAAGTTGATATCTTAAGAAATGTAGAAAAAACTAGGGGGGGAACTCATTTAAAATTCACCCTGTATATTAATAGGCAAGCATGTTTCTTTAAAACCTTTTTTCTCAGCTCGTGTGCATCGTAGGGAAAATCTACGCATACTGTTAGAAAGCTATTTTCCTGTAGGTGTGCAGAGTCCCTTTATAAATTAAAATAGGCTCAAAAATAAGCACAAAAAATGAATTTAAAATTTTGAAAAATTTAACATGGATATTATGAGTTGCCATGCTGGTGACGAAATAACAACGAAATATAAACAGAAAATCAAAACAAATGGAAGAAACTCCAATCACATGTTCTATTCAAAGTGTGGAATGAAAATAAAGAAGTCTGTACATTAAATATTTTTGGTCGAGTTTCGACCACTGGACGACCTCTAGTTAAACTAAATAAAAACTTCAGCATACATATAGTCCCTAAAAATACTCCCTGAATTAACTTAAAAACTAATTAAACTCGTTACAGCTGTCTACTTGTAAACTACAGAAAAAAAAGAGTGCATGATGAATTGTGAAATCTTTGCTGAAATAAGACAGAAACATTGACTTGACACTCAAATGTTGCCAACACGAAACACGCATTATCTATGTGTCTTTTCTGCTCTTCAAAATTACATATAACCTTATTGGCAACCGACTGGGTCAGTAGGCCATTTTACAGTTTTATGCCTCGATTTTCAAGATTTTTCAGTTTATGACACTTATTTGTGTTTCAGCTGCACACACAAGTGCCTGAAGGAATGTGTTATCGAGTGATGAAGCAAACATCCAAAGAACAGATGGTGGAAGTTTTGAGGTTTTATAACGTTATGGTGGCTAAAGAGGATATATTTAGTCGATGTCAGGTAAATGGAAAATCTGATTTAGAAGTCATACGTTTCAAAAACAAGTTTTGAATTTACTACTAATACAACTTGATTTGAAATCAATTTTGAGTTTTACAAGTATGTTTTGTTATATTCGTTGAAAATATTCTTTGTCAACCACATGGCTTACCGCAAGATGGCTGACCCTGCTTCAGTTGTTACAATCTTGGTTGGATAGGCATGCTCCATCTGTTGGTCTTATGTGATCGTTGGGTCGATCTCATCATCCCAACCACTGACATGTCAATTATCCCTAAATAAGGATACGCTGTTCAGCAAACAGAAAACGGCCAAACAATATAACCTACACTATCATAATATCAAATGGTTAGTTGTGTAACAGTTTTGAACAGTAATAGGTCAAAATCATGAGTAATTGTTTTATTTCCGATGTTTTATGAAGTAAAATTGGTTACAGTTTGTGATTGGATGCATTGCACGACGTCCAAGTGCCACGACGTCCAATAATATTTATTCAGTGCCACGACATCCAAAACATAATTTTTGAGTTTTTGCACGACGTCCAAGTGCCACGACGTCCAAAAGTACAGTAACTGCCAAAAATATAGTCTTTCTACAAGCTTTGGACGTCGTGGCACTTGGACGTCGTGAAACAGTGCACTATATAATTGTAAAAAAGTAACATTTGCGGGAGTGTTGCACGACGTCCAAAGTCGCTGCCAGTTGCACGACGTCCAAGTGCCACGACGTCCAATAAATATTTGACTGTTGCACGACGTCCAATATAGCTCAGCGCTGTTGCACGACGTCCAAGCTCCTTCATGATGACCGGCTACTTGCCGAATAGTGTTCTCTCGTGTAAAATGCTTATGGAACGTTTATTAGTTATATATACATGGGTATATGTTCTTGTTCAGAAATATATATACTATGAATATTTGAACCATTAATTGAAACATGATAAAGTAAAAATACCCCCGCCGCAGCAAACCTGACGCCTAAGCGAATTTCCATTTGGCTGAATTGATTTTTAATTGATCTATTTAAATAACATTAGGTTTAACGAGTACCTAGGTTTGCTGCTACAAGGAAACTAATAAAGTGTGTGTTTTAAGTAAAATAATTATTGCTTAGTAAAATGAATATATTTACCAAGTTTGATCAAAAGATATCCATAAACAAGCAAACTACAACATTTTACAATATTCTCCATAAGTATAACATGGGAATTTTAAATTTACCATTTTTTTAGTTTTCTCCGTAACCAATAACCGTACAAAAACACTTTGATATACTGAATTTTTTGTTTTTTTAAGCTCTTTAAGAAGGTTTAGAGAAAAATTGGGAAATTCTGTGTTTTGAGGGTCAAAAGTTAGAAAAACCAATTTTTACCCCATAAAACCCCCCATAAAACCCTGTTCCCATGGTCCGATCATGCTGGATCGCGAACTCATTCAAGTTTATCCCGCCTTACACCTTCAAACCAAATTTCATCAAAATCGGATAAAAATTACTCAAGTTATCGTGTTCACGGACACACATATATATATATATATATATATATATATACATATATAAAAATTTGAACGAGTGGTGTTTTTGGCCTCTGGGGACATCAAAATGAAAAAGTAAATCGGTCCCGGGCCTAAGTCTTACCATGAGACCTACGGTAATAGCTACTTCCCTATAGGGAAATTCGCTAAAAAAAACATAAAAAGAAAAAAATAAACAAGGCAACAGTTGGAAAACTATAAAGGTTTACATGGTTTGAAAAATGATGACATTTTGTTAACAACCGATCAACTTCATTATGTTTGGAGTCTGCTTTTAAATAGCCTACTTATTTTTTCAAGACTAGATACATTGATAGGTACATTGATCAACATGATCTTTGAAAACTATTTTTTATCCCCTCATTTTAATTTTTACTAGTATAAAGAATAGAATGCCTTTTCGAACGGTTTTTTAGGCTTCAATTAAATGTCTTTATGTCGTAAATATGTTTATTAATAGTATTCACTTAACATTGACTTAATTTCATTTCAATAAATTTTGTGTTTGTGTTTTGCTACACCACTTATTAAATTGCAACCAATGAGAATCTATATAAATAAAATTAGAGTTTTGTCTGTACATTGCTCATAATCATTCATTTGTAGGTTATTTTTACGTTTTATACTTAAAGAAGCCGAAACAAGTCTCATTTAAATTTCTGTCTGTCTGTCTGTCTTTCTGTCTTTCTGTAACACTCAAGATGGCATTTTACACAATCTTCTCCAGGAAAACGAGAGTACCTATCAAGATCCAAGTCATTTTAATGTATTCACTGGATTGGCGAGAGTGTCTTTAGCCATTAAAATATGGCCTCAATAATTAGTAAATAACATTACGGACGTTCAAAAATGCAGTTTTGTGCGATTTTTGTCAAGTTTTCTTCCAATTTTTATCACATAATGATCTATGAAATAACGAACAGCTGTTCGGATCAAGATATTTTTTTCTTGCTGTCACTGATATGTTTACAAATACCACAACCATTTCCGATCACGTTTTCAAGGCAAAGCCCATCCAAGTGAGATTGAAATCGTTGTCTTACATAACGGATTTAATTAATCGCAAGTGGAATAATATAGTGTAACCGTAAATGAAATTTAATAACATCATCCAGGTTAGGAACCAGAGATTCTTTGTGTATAAAATTGTTCTTGAGTTTTGATAACCTTGAATCAGTGTTGTATAGGGCTGGGAAACTTGAATTTATTAATGATCGTCGCCAATAGCTTACTAACTCATTGACGGCGCTTCAATGGTGGTTGTGTAAAGTGTAAAGTGTAAAGCAAAAAATCACAACTACAGTGGGTGATTGTAACAGAGGTTTACGGTTTATGGATGATGCTAAACTCGCTTTTCCAATGTGTTACTTTCTGCTCCTATTCACCGTATGATGCAATCGCTGGACGATACAGCCAATAGGCCCATAGCCCATCTCTTGGGTACTTACGCCTACCCAATTATTCATAACAACCTTTTCGACGACGATCCTTGATACCGGTACTTTTCCCTAGAATACACGGCCTCCCTACTTAAGAAATAAAATTACAAACGTCCAAAAACCCAGCATTGCGTGATTGGTCACAGCATTGGTCACATTTCATTCTAATGTTATATCTTTTATATACCAATCATTGTTTAGAGAATAGGCCTGCGTAATCTATTAAATAACAAACAGTTGTTTTTTTTTCAAACTGACACCAATAAGTTTACATTAAAAGTTGTTTACGAATAAAGCAATTAATGGGAAATAATTTTGATTGCCGATAACTTTTCACGAAAAAATCCAAAACCAAGAAATCAATAACCTTGGGACTTGATTAACGCATTTTATTTGTCGGACGTAATTCTTAACTGTAAACGTTGGTTTTTGGTACTGGTTTTTTCCCTTAGAACCGTTGGTAGCAGCAAGAATCATTTTTACGTACCAACACATCACTGTAATTTACAAATTAGTTATCGTTGGTGTTGCACCTTATTTATACAGTGGTATTACAGCCTTATTCAATTTAATTGATGTCTTAACTGTATAAGTTTTGCTTTTTCTGTCTGGATTCCAAAATGTTAGTTTATGCTAAGAAAATGATAACTCATTTAAGTAAAACGTTTTTTTAGCAAACCATTATGAATTGTTTACGATTTACGTTGTTTATGTATCAATAGTTCATGGCCTATTTTGGTAATTTTTATTATAGGTTAAATTACCAATCTAAATTGTCTATAGTACTTCATTTTATAAAGTAATCCGTCATTTCGTCAGCATTTCGCGTCATCTTCGGTCCAAGCAAATATAAATTGTTATGATAAAATTTGATGACATTGACAAAGATTTCAAATTCTAATTTTATATGTACTTTGTTAAGCTTAAAACGTAGCAAATTCCCTAATTAAGTTCTGTATTTTTGTGTGTATGTCTGTTGGTAACGCATTTGTGTACTTATTTCTCAGTGTCACGAAAAGGACAAGAGCACCTTGATAATGAAAATGTCAACCCGAATAAAGTGTTAAATGGTGAGGTTGAGGTAGTACTTTAAATAAATACCTTTAACCATTGTGGGAAGTAACTTTCAACTATAGGCCTTAGGGCTATGCCTCATAGATCTAGGCCTATAAAGCTTTTTTTTAGTTTAATCATTGGATTTAACATATGGACCAACACGATCCGGGTGACATTTAATTGCGAAGCATTTGTTTTGGCTTGAAACTGTCAGATACTGTATTTGCAAAGGTTTATATATAATAGTTTTGCCAGCATATCTGAAAATATGCAAACCAACTGCTTTTCTTAATATAAGAAGGTTTCAACTGACTACTTTAAGATCCCCGTGCGTAGAACGGGCACACAGCTAGTATCATATAAATAAGTTGTACACAGGGTTCTTTTGTTTCCCCAACTCTAAAATACAACGCACATGAATTGAAAATGTTATAGGTTTAATAGTACTGTAGTGAATCGAATATCAATAAAGTTAACGTATAACAATAAATTTACATATTCCAAGATTATAATTGAATGTGTTTACGAAGGAACACCACAACCTCAACATTTAACATTACAATATATTTACTCAAGATTTATTGTTTTCATATAGCACAGTTGATGTTGCCAACTAGCGTGGGAGCGGAAGTCCTGATAAAGGCTGGTTCTCGGAAAAGTAATAAACTTGTAGTTTGAATGAAACATTTTTTTAATTTTGTCCAGGATTCATGGGATCCTCAGCATCAAGTACAAACTGCAAAATGTGTGTCGAAGGTCTGATTAGACCTTCCGAAATTTAGACCTTCAGCAACTAATCCGTTTTTTACCTTCCTTTAATTTATTCTTTTTCATGTTGTGCTTCATGTAACATACATAGACCAGAGAGCCGCTCATGCCCTTGACAAATAAATTAACATTTTCGCACTAATACAAATCAATATCGTCATTAGACAAGAATTAAAAAATAAAATTTATAAACAAAACCTACCACGACATATTCTTGAACAAGTATGCCTACAAACCTACGATAAGCATGTTTGTTATTATTATACTTAACCTACAAATGCTATGACTTAGGGCATACCTGCTTTCCTAGATAAAACATGCGAACTAATTGCGAGTGCGACGTGAACTTAGAAAAAGACTAGTAAGAATTTACAACTGTGAATTTCTCAGAATTGATTGACAGTTCAGATGAACCTATGGCCACAGACTACGGAAACCTACAGTATTATTGTATTAGTATACTGTATTTGTATTATTGTGTTACTAGCAGAGTACCCGTCCTTCGTACGGGGTTGACATATAAGTATAAATGCTTATTGCAGTTATGGGAGAGGACACGATAAAAAAAAAAACTGGTCTTTTAATTGGCCCCCAACCTCTTTTAATAAAAAGAAAAAGAAAAAAAGAATTTATACGGTATCCTATTGAGTAGCACACATCTACCAAAGTCCTGATGTTCTACCACTGCACCTAGACCATGGAAAAAAGTAAAGTTCTCATTGTGTACAACAACTTTTTTTTGCTAGTTGGTTCAAATTAGCTGTGGTCATTAATGCAAACGAACAACATAATAGTGCTGCACCCTGTTTCGCAAGCCTTATAACTTTTAATGCTGTTTAATATCATAGAACCAACTTGTACAGTTGAAACGGCTGACAATATTCTTTAATTTCTTTTAATATGAATTCTCATAAGGTTAACTAGAGAAAGTCCAAAGCCAGAGCCACCGGGGCGGAGACTGAAAGAATTTTTGATGTAAGAATATTTTAATCGGGGATGTCATCTATCATCATACCAAATTTCAACCTTGTCGGTTTAGTATTTTTCGCGTTTGCTTGTCACAAACATCCATCCGTCCATCCATACATCCATGGTTTGCACTGTAAACAAAAAGCTATCACAATAGTTTCAAACCGACAAATAGGAAAAATAGGAAAATATAAATAAATATGGAAAATAGGGTAATTTTCTAACATATTTTAGTGAAATTATATAATCAGGCAAATGGAAATTCAGTCTACAGATTTGCTGTGGTAGGGGGATTATATTACGGTTTACACAAAAATAAATCAGAACATAAACCTCATAACACTCAGGAAAAGGGCCTAGGTTGATAGGGCAATGATTATAGAATCTTAATTATTTCCTATATCCATGATGAATGATTTCTTTTAAAACGAATTATTCCCACTGTTTCACAGGAAACATTTTTAACCATTGTAGTAACATCATTAAAGCTTAAAAAGTTGATAGTTTACATAATATTTAGCACATTTTATGGATAAAACTTTTTTGAATTCATCATATAATAAGTGTATGAAAATTCATATATCTGTGTATCAATATCTACTTATCTCATTTCTGTTCAATGGAAGTTATACAATTTTAATGATACCGGTACTTAAATGGGAAGTCTTACAGCTGTTATAAAACTGTGCATACATTTTATCTTACGAGTAAATTTGCTACCAATTGATATAGTATGACAATTCTATTCTACTGCAGTACTTAGAATTCTACCACTACTCACATTAAACCAACCATATTTACTTTTGGGCTAGTGATTAATTTATTGTATTAATCATACAATATAGTGAATAGTGTAGTCATTTATTTATTTCGTTTCTATGACATAGCTCTATTTTGTAGAAATCAATTATGCAATCATAACAACAGAAATACTGCATCATTACATTTTACAGTGACATAGTATTTATTTTACATATAAAAAATTTAAGCTAACGCAATAATTAGTTCAATTAGAACCATTGAATATTGAATAATTTAAACATTAATCGAAGACGAAGCGGTTGACAACTTTCAAACAGTTGACTAGGACTAGTTGCCTTCAATAATTGCAATGCGAACTGTATGCACTGAGGTCGGCAAACAGTGTTCACAGTGTGCAGGCACTTTGGACGTCGTGGCACTTGGACGTCGTGCAACAGTGAAATATTGATTGGACGTCGTGGCACTTGGACGTCGTGCAACTGGCAGAGGCTTTGGACGTGGTGCAAATGAAACTTCTTTACAATTCTACAGTGCGCTGTTTCATGACGTCCAAGTGCCACGATGTCCAAAGCTTGTAGAAAGACTATATTTTTGGCAGTTACTGTACTTTTGGACGTCGTGGCACTTGGACGTCGTGCAACAACTCAAAAATTATGTTTTGGACGTCGTGGCACTGGAAAAATATTATTGGACGTCGTGGCACTTGGACGTCGTGCAACACTCCCTTGTGATTTATTTATTTTGGTAGCTTATAAATAAATAATAAATTTACTATAAATATTTATCTTTTGAAGCAGTTGTATAACTATAGAATAAAATGTGTTTTCTAAGTTACAGCTGTATTATACGTAACAGTTAAACTGATGGGTTAATGTTGATGCCTAAATAATGTGGACAGCCCAAAACCTCATATTATAGTCAATCCTAATACATATTTTTGTATTTAGAGATCTGAAGTGACAATATTTATTATGTTTTTATAGCTATGTAATGGAGCAGATTTCAAGAAGCTGACCCCTCAGGAGTTGAGGAAAGCTATTGATTCAACTTACAGAACACACCGGCATGTTTCTGCTCACCAACTGGATATTGCTGACGATGACTACGATGATTACAATGACTTTGATGATGACAGCTGTTCAGATGATGATATACCAGGTCCAGTTACCCATGCCCCATCAGGGTATGTCACGTCACAGGCAGGAGCCAATCATACACCAGTTGAAGAGGATACATTTTATGGCTACAACTGTGAGACAAGCACAGGAGCTCATATCAAGGTAAATAGGGCTACTGCTGGTATTTCTAATTTAATTTTACACTAGCTTAGAATTTTCACCTAATGCTCAAGAAGTCAAGGCTGGTCTCTTTTTTGTGTTTTATTTCTTTTAGCCTTTTCTTTCTAGAATCATCAACACTTGACAGTTTATTAATCGTCCCCAAACGCTCCCTCCGCTCGTCAATGTCCAAAACGAGACCTGTTTGTAGTTGAAACCCCTGTCTCTAATTTAGTAGCAGCATAGAACTCATCTACTCTAGTAGTCCATCTTGCACTGTCGCTGTTGTCATTCTACTGTGAGCCCTATAATCTAAAATATCTTGTGCAGTAGAACTGCAAGCAACCGAATCTATCGAGACTGCAACACTTTCGCATAGTAAAAAATCCAGAAGATCGGATCTTCACCAAGACTCTGGGGGATGTTTTCAGAAAGTCATGTTTTGTCATGTATATGCAAAGATTTTGCAAAAAGAATTCACACTATTCCGCCATTGTGGAGGACGGTTATGATCTTCCTTGACCCCAAAAGACAATGATGATGTTTTCGTGACTGTGGGAGGTGACGATTTATATAACCTGCAGAAGATATTCCAGGATTTTCCCACAATCATGGTAGACGATGATGATGTTTTAGTAATTGCAGAAGACAGTCTCTTGTCACCACAGAGCACGATGATATTGTCTACACGACTGCAGATATTTGGTATTCTGACACAATCACGGTGTCTGCCTCTTTTAATAACATTGCTTAATACCGTAGTTTTAGGTTTTAAAATTTCTTCTCTAAGTGTTTGGATAATCGACGTTCCAGATAGTAAGAGTTCAACTGTAATAGCCCCAAGGAAAGGACAGTTCCTGGTTTTAGACACAAAGTCTGTTTTTACTGTCCAAGTATCATCTGCTGACTTTAGCTGATTCACCCTCATGCACCACAGTAGTTTGTGGTCTTGAGGAGAGGGCCATTGACTCTCAACAATATGACATTACAACATTACACATCATATCACCCTTCCTTCCATCAGGAGGGTTGATTTTTTTGCTCTCTGATTGGAACATTGAAGCTCTATCCCTCTCTGAAACCAGTATTTTATCTGTGGCAAAACTTTTATTCATATTAGACATCTAAAGCTCCTATTCTAATCTTAATTACATAGTAATATTGTTGAAAGGGAGGCTGTCAAAAAACTTATATTAGCTTGTCTCTTATTGTTTTAAGACTAACACAACAAATTTTGGATTTCAGCACGAAAGCATACCCAAAGACAAGTTTGACAGTGTGCCGTTGTTCTACGTATGTGATAATTGTGGCCATTGTTACTGGGATGGCAGCCACTTGGTGCGTATCCTGGACAACTTGCAACACATTGTCGCCAAGTAGACAATCTTGTGATACACATGTACAGTGGACCTCCTCCGGAACCTGACAAATAGTAGATGTAAGGACACTGCATTGTAGTATAACATTAAGGCATTTGAACATTTGTAAGGCATAGCACAACCTTGATTAAACACTGTACTGTTCTGTTCTTGTGAATAATACAAATAGATCACGCGACTTATAATACACCTAGAAAATAGGCTTTGCAAATTTTTTCTTGTGAAGAAAAATCTAAATTGCAACAACTTTATTAAACCCAATGCCAAATTATAACTCAAAACTAATCTGGGGTGTTGCCTGTTATTTTTGTGAAGTACTCGATTGACTAAAATTTCTTCAGTCATGATGTTAGTTTTTATTTATGTCATGCCCGTTCCTTCTTTATAATTGTCAAAGGACCGAAGTGTGGTTAAATTTTCTCTAATTGTCCAGTAATCCGTGTAGTTCTGTTGTTAGTAACCATTGACGTTTTTGTCAAACTTAAATCTCTCCAATGTGGTTGGAAACATAGACATAATATGAAACTAATATGAGGAAATTGTTGCACTTACGTGGTATGAAGAATTGTCTGGAACTATTTCTAGCTGTTCTCACATTTAGTTTTTTTTTTTTATTTTAACTCTATTAATTTATTGTTCAAAAGTCTTGTGATAAATGATAAATTACCTCAACACCCTTAACCATTTCCACTCGGATTAGTTGACCCCTTGTTGTCCCATACGCTTGCATTTATTGCCATGCAAAAAAACATGTTTTAAGTTTTGTGTACATATACTGACTAAAATAAATTATTTGTTGTACTTGAGGGCTTGATTCTTATTCAGCATAAAATTGTACACAAGTAAAACAAAATATCAAAATAAATATACCCATAAAATATTTTTTGTGTGGTCATAATATAAAAAAAAGCAAAATAAAATGTACAAAATATTTTTTAGGAGGCTTTTTAAAAAACGTTAACACATTTTCAGGATTTGTAAAACACTTTATCAACATTAGATATCTAGTTGCCAATTCAAATCAGCCATTACAAGAAGGATTAGGTGTATTTTTAATGAAAAATGCATTTTCAAACTTAGATTTTTTGGTGATTTTGGTCGTCATGGTTACTATTTACACTTCTCTATTCTTTAATCCACAGCTGACTAAATAAACTTACAATTATTTTTCAAGCTACCAAAGACATGTAAAATGAATAAGGAAATCATTAAGTTTGTGTTCAACACAAATTCAAAACATGCAAACACTATATAAAAGGGATTTATTAATAAAAAGCCGATGCTGAAAATGTCGCGGCGGCCGCGACATACGAGTGGAACGGTCAGACGTGAATGTCGCGGTAGCGGCGACATACGAGTGGAAAGGGTTAAGCTTCTTTTCTTCTGTCACCATCAAACACTAGGAGGACCTATTAAATGGTCATTTTGGATTCAGTTTTTGCAAGATTCTTTGCACATGGATTCAAGATTCTTTAAGATACATAATAGTTTTAAGATACATAGGTTATATACAAATATGTGATGGTATGGTTTTGTAACTTATAAACTAAGTTATCGTAAAATAAAACATAGTTAATTGCTTTCACTCAATTGTTTTATATATCGCCGTAGATTTAAGTAATTTGGAAGACAAAAGTTTGGAGGGGTCCACTGTATCACCATTCTGATCTTCCACAAGATCTAATGTTCAATTAGTCTTTCTTCTATTAGATTTAATGGTATGGTATTGTGATTGTGTATTTCAACTTGTATCAACTTTATCCTGTACGTGATATATAATAGGTATCTTTAATATGTACCTACATAAAGTATCTTTTCCTACCTGAATATTTTTATATGTTATGTTTCAACAATGACAAGTTACCACAAGTTGGCCAAGTTATGTTTTTGTTTTTTAATTTTGTACCGTTTTGTTTCAAATGCAAGAAGTGTTTTTTCCAACACTTGCTGGATTATAAGTTTAAATAAATGCTAGTTTTGACTTAGTTCACTATATCATTTTCCCTTTATGAATAACTAGCTGTACCCGCGGGCTTTGCCCCGCTTAACTTAAGTATTCGCATGGCTCAATCACGTCCTGGTTGAAGTTCGTTCGCTACGCTCACTCACCTTCAGGTTGGAAATCGTTCGCTGCACTCACTTGTTTTCAGGTTAGCTCGTTCGCTACGCTTACTCGCCTCCAGATTGATGTTCGTTCGCTACGCTCACTCACCTTTTGGTTGCAAATTAGCTGTTGTCATACATTTAAAAAAGTCATCCCTTTTATTGTTTATAATACAGTACTTTTATAAAGGTTTTTATGTTTTAATATTTAACATTGGAGAATTTAAACGTTGTTAAGTGCACAGGTGTGCTGCGGTTGGGGTTTAATACATTTGGACTTATTCAAAAGTAAAATAGTTTTCTGTGCTGCATTCTGTAGAAACACTGTGGCACTATTTCAAATCATGACTAATGCTAATACAGAATGTTGTAGTTATTCAAACGTACAAAACAGTCCCACAAATTTTAAAAATTCAAATTTCAAAATTTAAATTTGTGTTTATTGATGTAAACATCTGCTTTTAAATTATATTTATTCGTAAACATTCTAGATCAAAAAGTCTGACATTGGCCCACTTAAAACCCTCTGGGGCAGAGCCCTTTTGACGGATCTGCACCAAACTTCACTCGAACCATCCTTGAAAGATGCTTAATAATGCCTGAAAGTTTCATTACAATCTGTCGAGTGGTTTCGGAGTCCATAACGTATATACACATATATATACATACATACATAGTTCCTCTTTTATAGATATAGATTTTTACTTAGGAGATTAAGAAATTTCATGAATTAATTGAATAAAAAAATAAATACTTTAGATTAATTATTGTCACAAAAATAGCCTTTGACAATCTTCTATAAAGCTAATAAGGATCATGAAATTTTGAGAAACCCATAAGCTAAACACCTATGAACCGCATAATTGATTGAAAGGCCTTGATGTGAAACTTCCCCGAAAAATATAAGTTTTCTATAAACCCCTCGAAAGGGGTTCACTGTCGTATAGTACAGTGTTATAACACGATGCTCAATTAAAGGGCTTTTAATCCAGCATCTATATGGTGTTGAGTATGCACTGAAAGTGCAAAGCTTTAAACAAAAAAATAGTAGGCCTACTGGTTGTCATTGTGCATTGTATGTTTTTAATACATTAAAATCTGTTTATTAGATAATAAAATCAATATATTTCAAGGTTTCCGATGAAGCAGCACAGAGACGCGGGTGACCGCTATTGTAATACATACTTGTAAAACTTGGGTATGCACTGAAAGTGTAACACATTTTGACTGTTGTTGGGGGCATCTTGGAGATGAGGGGGGGTAAGGAGCGTTCTAAAACATCACTCGTATTGTGTACTAGACACAAAAGAAACATGCTCTAAACTCCATGTAGTGATCTTTCCTCAAAATAATACGAGGTTCCTGAGTTGATAAGAAAATATGTATAAGTTGTTTAACAGTGAGGCATTTTAAAAATATAAAACTCAGACGAAAATCAAGGTACAACCACCAATGAAAACACTTAAATTTAAAATGTATGTTTTTTTACTAAGACATCATTATATATAGGTAGTTATAAGATAGTGTGGAAAGTGCAGAAATAGGCTAGGGAGTTTCAAAATGGCTGTGAAAATGCTAATTTCGGAAGGGATTGTGTTTTTAGTGGGTACCCAGACTTCTCAAAGAAACCCACTAAGATAAACAGTCAGTTACAGTTTTATACTCCATAAACCAGTTCTGCACTTCACCCTCACTCACTGCAGGGAACATCTCCTTTAGTTATAAGTATTAAGTACTGGAAACATTTGATTGCACGGATATCGATAAATGTTTGATATTTATTTTAGTGATATAACAAATAATATTGATCTTTGTAGATAGGAACTAAAACAATACGCTAATCAATATTTGTCAACATTTATTATAAACAAAGGTTTTTATCAGAGCAATAAACTTCTCATCCTGTTTTTAGATTGGAAGCATACTTTCATGAGTATATTGTGTTGGCAACATTTGATTGCACTGATGTTACCTAAAAATGTTTCACTCTAATTTTAGCCCATAATATCAAAGATTTGTGATGTAAATCTAAATAAAAATTGTTTAAATAAATACATTACCACAAGAAGACATGCAATAGTCTAGCTGACCCATAAGGATAAACCACAGCCACCTCTAATACAAGGCCGCAACGTTCGAACTGGCAACGCCGCACTCACCCGCCGCCTGAGTCCGGCACTCATGCTAGGCTATAAACATCAATGAGAGTATTGCTGCTCTGTATCAATGAATGAAAGTATTTAAATTACATATTTTAGTGGATTTTGGGGTATGGTAAAATATACAAATTAGAATCTAGGTTGTTTATTTAGTGAAAAATTACAACATACCACAATATGTCTAAAACTAAAAATACAAACATTATGTTTTTGTTTGCATTTATCGTATTGTAAGTACGATGAATGTGGAAATAGATGGGATTTACATATTTCCTTTGTCAATTTGATAATCTATACTATTATATAGCAATCTCATGGTGTCTGTATATATGTGTGTTATTCAACATAGTAAAAACTACTACTAACTGGGGTTAAATTTTTCAAAATATAACTACTATACCAAGAATGGTAATACAGTAGGACTAACTTATTGCCACTTCAATATTTGTAGAGACTCTGAGATTTGTAGAGACTTTGAGATTTGTAGAGACTTTGAGATTTCGGAGACTATGATGCTTTTATTGTTAGATAGTGTAATACTGTACATATTTTTTACTAGGCCTACTTAACAGAAACGCCGATTTATTTCTTTACCTAACCCGCCATGTTAAACTTCCCTATCCCAAGCGTGATGTATACAACTTCCTTACTTCTCGAGTGATGTAAAGTATCAAAAACTCACTCGGTGATGTAATGAAACCCATTTAAATAACATTGAGTGATTAACTTAAAAAAATATACCTCTATGGAGCCAACGACATTCAACGCTAGAAATCAGCTGTGCTCTTGAATTTTATTGTTATGTTTTGAAAAATTTTCCTAACCTAGCTTTTGTTTGTAAATGAACGTTACTGTTAGAAGATGAGTGAAATGGATAATGATTAATATTGTTCGTAACCTCCTGTATATTGTCGGGTCAGGTAAAATCTTGTACGTTACACGTTACGCAAGAGCGTGTTTATACATCACTTAGGTAAATTATGAACACAACCTTCACCTGCGTGATGTAAAAACGCTCTTACTACACTTGTAAAGTAAATAGCTATTAAAGTGCCAGTTATTTCAGTTATTTTTATCACATAACAACAGCTTTTATCAATAAGATTGACAAATAAATAAGGAAATAATACGGCATTCTCATCTAAAAATCACTTCTCGCGTCTATATTTACACGAATCAATGTCTTATTCTTCCTTTTTTTTACAAATCTAAGTTCATATTCGTGAAAATGTTTCACACAAAAACGAGAATTGTTTTAAGATGTCTAATTTGATTAAAGAATAGCAGGAAGACATTGTTGCTGACGCCGCGGATCGCTTAGAATCTTAGAACACTGTATGTATTATTCATTTTTAATTGAGCTTTCGTAATTATTCTTGCGTCCAGGCACATCACATCTATCTGGCATGGTGTAGTAACAAGCTCAATGTCATTACTAATGATTAAGGGTAGTAGAAACGCGATTATGTACGTAGAGTACGCGACTCTTCCATTAACTGTAATGGAAAGACGACCGCGCACCAAGACACGGATGCGACGTTGCCACTTTTCGCTCGCCGCGGCCTTGTATTAGAGGTGGCTGTGATTAAACGCCTCTACATATTCCACAGCATAAGTGAGGAGCTCCCAGCAAGCCAAAAGGCGAGTTTTATATATATATTCAAAATACCTGTAATCCAGTTTCTTGACTCGCTACCTTCGCCGCTCCACTATGTTTTCACCCTAATTGAGCCATACTCAATCAGAAGAGTTACAAGCATAATCAAGAACAGTAAATGGACATTTTTTTTTATGAATAATAGTGTTTAGAAATATTAATAAGATTAACAACTGTTGTCTTCTCTATTACCTCCGTTCAATTGGCGGCCTTATACCTAGTTTTCCATTGTAGCTGACATGATGCGCCCAAAATAATTTCAGTAACCTGTAGGCTAACAGAACTAGCCAAACAAAGAAGATAGATTTTCAAGCCTAGACAAGAATCAAAACACGGCTGACTTGCTCACTATGCAATATGAATAAAGATAACACTTTGGTAATTGAGGCACATCATGAGAACTTCTGACTTAGGTAGGTAAACTTCAAGTTACCGAGACTCATGAACGAGATACTTAAACTACAACACAGTAAAATTTGACTTATCAAGGTTAAATATTTAAAACATACAACCTAAAAAGGTACTTTAGGCATGATGATTAACAGGGAATGCAAGGGGATTATGAAAATTTGGTGTTATTGAGGTTCTACTGTTGATAGATTTTACCTAAAAGAATAAAGGACATTCATAACGAGTCATGATTCATTGTTAGACTTTATTTTTATAAATTAACCAATCTTCTAAAATAAACAAGTAGATAGTAGGTGATATATTGGCAATACATATACACACAATAGACTCTGAACTAATAATCTAATAATTTTGAAATAAAATGAAATCGTCATTTACATTTTAACGATAAAAGCATATGCATTAGGCTTGTTCGTTTCCTGGATACAAAAACATTAAATAACATAAATAATTACACTCACAATTTAGAGATAAGATTGCTACATACAGAAGTTTTTAAATATTTTATCACAAACTTTAAAAATAGGTCTAAATGAATAAAATATCAAAGAAATAAAAGAGTCCATAATATACAAAAGCTATACAAATATTATTGTCAAGCTTATCAAAATTAACTTTACAGGCACAATAGTATAAAAATATATTAACAATAAAT